TATGACAAACAAGAAGTGAAACCAATTCTTAAATACTCCCTCCGTCCCACTTTGATAGTTCTGTTTCTTTTTTCACACAGTTTAAGAAAAAGTAGTTAACTTTGTTGGAAAAGTAAATTTAGATTGCTATTTTCCTAAAATACCCTCACATTAAATATGGTACAACTTTATGGGAACTTGAATTGATGATAAAAAAAGAATCAACTCTCATTAAATGGGGTAGGTTTATAGTAACAACTACTTACATTGAATAAGGGTATTTTAGAAAAATTAAAATACAACTATATTTTTCAATTGGAAAGTGGACTACAATTTGGGACAGATGAAAAAGAAATACACGACTATCAAAGTGGGACGGAGGGAGTAATACACTTTGTGATAGATCCCATTCACTCTTCGAACGGTTAGAATTTTTGAGATCTTAGCAGGATAGTTTCTAAAATACATCGTTTTGATTTGAAACGCTTGATCCATGAATGTAACATACTGACAATTAATCATAAGTGGTATGATCATCTCACTAATTACAATTTTGTCAATAATATATTTCTTGAAGAAGTCCATGGAAAGAAATACTCATTGAAACGAGGGCTTATTTCACTCAATTTCATACTTGATACTTCCATTGCTTACACACTATTTTTGCTGTGGACCGTGGCGTGGAGGGATGAAAACGTGGTCCAAGCAAAGGTAAAAGAGAGAAGACTAAGGACCTAAGAGGCGCTCAATGGCCACCACCTCTCCTGATGTGGTGGGAAGTCAGGGGTTCAATCCTTGTCTTCTATCAAATTGTCTGTCCCTCATGGGCAGCTCGATTGGTTTCAGCAAGCCTCCTTAAGAGCTGGTGTCCAGTGTCCGCAAGGGTCCGAGTTCCGTGGTTATCGTGTTCGTGGGGATGAGGCCTCTTCTCTTGGACCGGAATGAGATTAATCGGATCTCGTAAGAATTGACTTGGACACCCACTCCATTAGAAAAAGAAAAAAAAAAAAAAAAAAAGGACCTAAGAGGCATAGTACTAGTAGTCCTTAGTTTTAGTGCATTCATTCACGATCCACATTGGATCAGAAAGTTGGTTGCGTCGTTATCAACATCAAAGGGCCTGTCCCCACCCCAAACGTCCAGGCCCAGAAGCTAGCTAATCATATGCTGCATTTACGGCGGTTAAAGACCCAATCTCTGATCTGATCTGATCTGACCTGAACCCCGCACCCCCACCCCCCCCAACCCTCTCCTCAGGGCTTGGGAGGGCCTCCAACGTGTTTAATGGTGGTTCACGACTTCCAGGCTATAACTGACAATTTTATTTCTTTTGGTAAAAAGAAAATTTCATCGTTCAATTGCTGAAAATCGTCCGGTACGATTTGATTTGTATCACTGCTTAGGACAAATATGCACTAGAAATATTAATATATTAGATCTGGAATTCGACTGATACCAATTGATCTGAAATATATAAGAAATTTTAACAATTTTGTTGGTTATTTAATTTTTGACCAAACTTGAGTTCTATAACAAAATTCTACAAATTTTTTTTTAATGAACTTTAAATAAAGCAATTGACTGTCAGCTCAAATGGGCTAAAAATGAAAACTTGAAAAATTTAATAATATAGCAGTGAAACCTTTTCAAGATTAGAGGAGCGATATTTTATATTTATCCTTAGCTCATTTATTTGATAGGTCAATTGCTTCAAGGTGGTTTAACATCAGTAGGGTTTCAGCTTGCAACTTAAAATTTTGGTCAAAGTTATTAATTAAACAATAAACAAGAGTTGATGGAAGTTCTCATTTGAAACAAAAATTTCAATTTGGGCGATTTGATTGGGACTTATTCACTTTCAGGGGTTGAATCTACAATTTGGTCAACTTAAGAGGGCCAAACCGAAGTCCATTCTATCACATGGGGCCGTGGAGGAGTGGAAGCAGGAGAAGAGACCCGTGGCCCCTGGGATCCAATTTAATGCGTGACGACAAACAAGGTGATTTGCGGTTTCAATTTCGATGCTCAGTTTTGTGCTAAACAATAAACATGCATGGTTACGTATCTAAACATGAAGAAAAATTGGATCTAATTATCAACTCTTAAATCAATCTGCTCCAAAAAAAAAAAAAAAAAGAAACTGTTAAAATCAATCTAATTCTTCGTGGCCTTGATTGTCGCATTATGCTGACTTCCCTTAGTGCTTGAATGTTACGTGCACTGACTTCATTAAAATAATTGAATTGATAATTGCGGAGACATCATGTCTTGTATTTCTAGTTTTACCAATTTTGCTTGTCCCAATTCTTCAACTTTGTCTTTTACCCATTTATTTTATTTTTTGCTTTATACCGGAGCACCCATTTTGTCTAGTAGGTTTTTATATCTATTAGCCTCTCTTATACATAGTTTCTTTAGACTCCCTTGAACTGATTATCAATTTCTTTTGCACTTGAAGACTCTTACACATAGTTTCTTTAGATTTCCTTGAACTGATTATCAATTTCTTTTGCACTTGAAGAGATATCCCTACGATTTTAAAAATCAAAGGAGAAGTCCATGTTCATCGAGTGAGAGTGACTCTTATTATAGTCTCAACCATTATTCGGCCAAGAAAAAACCCATTTTTGGGCAAGGAAGAAAATGGTTGCCCTCCCTTCACTGTAAAGGGTTTTTTTTAGTAACCCGGAACATGTCCTGATTCGACTCACTTTAGATCCATTCTGACACACCAAATCAGAGAAATACGCCGCGGTCTCACACGACGCATCCCCAAGCGAGTTACGAGGGTTCAAATTCAGAGTAAGATTCGAAATCATCACCAAATGAGTTCTAAGAGTTCGCTTACCACTGAACTACCCGTGAAGGCACCCTTCACAGTAAAGTTACTAAATAATTTATGAATTTTTATCAAACTCATTACTAAACTAAGTAGGCTATTACTTATCGGTTGTTTTTTTTTTAATTACTAAAATTCATTGCTGAAAGTTACTAATTATTTTATGAGTTGTCATCAAACTCATTACGGTTTTCTAATTTATCGTGCTCATAATGTGAGTGATAGTAAAATTTGAGCCAAACGGCTGTTAGGCATCAGCAGCCAGCACCAATGAGTATGAGTAGGACCCCTTTCCCGCCTTGAGAGGGAAATGCAAAAGAAAAGGAAAAAAAAACTGAATAATCTTCAATCTGATTCGGGCCTTAATGCTTGAGGTTACGTCAAATGCTATATACGGGCAACTCAACCCAACCTCAATTGGGTTGTCAAACCTGAGCTTGGCTTGAATGTTCCAGCAACTCAGGGTAGGACGCAGTTATATCCAGTAAAGGGATAAGCTGGGCCTAGCCTTGCCCCAAATTGTAATGTCCAGGTTCAATGGAGACGATCTTGGGACGAGCTAAACTCGGTCCAATCCTAATAAGTCATACAGTAATTCCTCATAACCCGAATGCAGATGGTCAAAATCTTCTTACGCTAAAGCTGCAAGCGATTCAACATCAAAGCATCCATTTAACCGAGGACCTATAAACCATAGCTATCTTTTTTTTTTTTTTTTTTCAGTTGGGTTATTCGAGTCTACACCCGACTAGTCCTCCAACCCCGAGGAGAGCGGGCCCCACCGATCCTCAGAAAATTACGCTAGGTTGCTGAGTTCGGAATCGAACCCATGCCGTCTCACCCTAACGAGAGTTACACGACCACCCAAGCAATCCGTCGGGGGCAAACCATAGCTATCTTTATAACATCACTTTTTGTACCCCGCCCCGTCGTGCATCGAATGTAATCTCGTCGTCAAAGGCATTAGATAAATCAAACCATTTGATACTCGAATCGAGTTTGATTTGTCAAGACATCCATCAAACTCGATTCACCGATTAATTAAGTCAAATTTGAATCTCGTTTCATGTTCAATAACGTTCAAACTCGATAAAGAGTCCGTTCAATCTCAGTTTGGCAAATAAACAAGCCAAATTTGAACATAATTTCAAATCGTTAAAATAATCAAACAAATTTGAACATTAGGGCGTTCAAGTTGATTAGATTCGTTTACACCTCCAACTATCAGAAGCAGCTGGAGACGCCTATATAATTCTTGCTTCTTGTTTCTCTCTCCGTCTAACCATCTTGGTGTTCAGTTGTTCCATTCTTCAGGGAGGTTACCTCATTTGCCTTTGCCCTTTTCCAGCTTGAGGAGCAAACGAAGGCTAACAAGCGAGCAGTAGACCAAGTGGCACATAGATACAATCACATGTACATAGCAACTGAATGATACAGTTCGGAGAACTTAAAGTCAGACTCTTGGGTTAAGTTGGCCTTGTAAACAAATCAATTAAGTTTTTTCTAAATAATTCTTTAGTTACTTGTGCTGGTCTAGATTTATGAACTGGTATGGTGTAAAATGGCCTCCTAAATGCTTATCGTTTGACAAAGTAAGATTTGGCAGCCAAATGTGTAAAGGATGACACTGCAGCGTTGCGAGCCAGGGAGGCTGCAAAAGATGGAGATTTCCTTCCTGCCGGCCTTTTAGTTTGGATCCCCATTTGTATGAACGTTTGAAACTAAGAAGATCCTCAGAATCTTGCCAGTAACGTGCTTGAAAATTTGGCCTGGTGGATTAAAAAGGAGGGTTCTTCACATTTGACAGCAGTGTGATAGCAATTAGTCTCCAAATGTCTACTGAAATCTTGCCAGTACAAGAAAAGTCGAAAAGGTGAGGGAGGGTCCAGAAAACCAGCTCATATAGCATTTCTCTCATATCATGGTTTATGCCTTGTCAGACACCTTCAACTTTTGGCTAGGACATCTTCACCTTTTCTTTAGAAATTTCATTCTCTTCTCCCACTTTTCCTCTTCACTTTGAATTTTCTAATTTTATATACTTTACTTATTGCATTCTAGATCCTTTCTTTAACCTCAAAGATTCCTTCTTTTCCTAATTCAAGAAAACGATATATTCCCATGTTCATACCAAAACACCACAGCGACTAGAAAACGCGTCACTGATATCTACCTTTCAAGCCACGGGCTTCATATACATATGCCCTTTTAATTTGTTGCATACTCTTGTATATAGCGGGAGCAGAGTGCTTTCGGTCAAGACGGAGCCAAAAAATGCATGAATTCAAGTATGAAGAACTTGTTCAAGCAACTGAAAACTTCTCTCAATCGCGACTTGTCGGTAAAGGGAGCCATGGCCATGTTTACAGAGGCATTCTGAAGAGAAATGGTTGCGAACATGATCAGCTTGTGGCCGTAAAGAAGCAATCACTAGGCCTTCAAAAGCTTCGAGACAATTCGAAACTCGAAAATGAAGTGAACATTGAAAAGGTTTCAGCGGAAGAAGTTTTCATTCCTGTTTCTTACGCATTCGTCAAGGATATATATACATACAGCCCAAACCGTGGATATCGCTACCGATAGCTACTGATCCTATTTGAATACAAGTATAGCTAAGGATAACACCTAATCAGCTAGATATCTCTTTACCAATTCAAACTGATAACCAACTCTGTTACAGAGATATACATTAACTCTGTTACAGAGATATACATTATCCCTAATACCCCCCCTCAAGTTGGAGCGTGAGGATCACGAACGCCCAATTTGCGAAGAAGAAACTCAAACTGATCTCGACCCAAAGCTTTGGTTAGAATGTCTGCTAACTGGTCGTGACTTCGAACATAAACCGTTTTGATCATACCTTTCTGTATTTCATCGCGAACAAAATGGCAATCAACTTCGATGTGTTTGGTGCGTTCATGAAAGACAGGATTGGCAGCTATATGCATCGCAGCTTGGCTATCACAAAATACTCCAGCAGATTGATCATGATGCACTCCCAAAGACAATAACAAACCCTTTAGCCATTTCAATTCACAGACCGTGGCGGCCAAGGAGCGATATTCCGCTTCAGCAGAAGAGCGAGAAACCGTATGTTGTTTCTTGGTCTTCCATGAAATCGGAGAGGGCCCAAGAAAGATGAAATAACCTGTAAGTGATCTCCGAGTTAATGGACAACCTCCCCAATCCGAATCGCAATAAGCTTTCAGTTCAAGATTGCAATCAGCGTTGAGTAAAATGCCTTGTCCTGGACTACCTTTCAAGTATCGGACTATGCGCAAGGCTGCCTCCCAATGCTCTTTCCGTGGCTGGTGCATAAATTGTGCCAAAATATGCACACCATAGGACAGCTCAGGCCGAGTTAAGCTCAAGTAAATCAAACGTCCTACCAGCCTTCGGTATTGATCAGGATCCTGCAGCAAATCACCTTTGGCTAAAGCGAGAGAATGATTCTGCTCCATAGGAAACTTCGAAGGTTTAGCACCCAATAATCCTGCTTCATTAATGATATCTAAAGCATATTTCCGTTGACACAAGAAAATCCCGTCAGCATTTCGAGCTACTTCAACGCCCAAAAAATACTTCAAAGCACCTAAATCTTTCATGTGAAAACACTGGCGCAAGTATGATTTGAATGCATTGATCAAATGCGTTTTGTTTCCAGCTATAATAAGGTCATCCACGTATACTAACACAGCCAACTGGATCCCATCTCGTATCAAAGTAAACAAGGAATAATCAGACTGTGACTGAAGAAAACCATACCGTTTTAGAGCTTCAGCCAATTTTGCAAACCAACAACGCGGTGCTTGTCGTAAACCGTAAAGGGACCTTCTCAAGCGACACACCTTCCCGGGTTGGTCAGTGTGAAATCCAGGAGGTAGTTTCATATAAACCTCTTCGGCTAAGTCTCCATGGAGAAAGGCATTATGAACATCCATTTGATGAAGTCCCCATCCCTTAGCTGCTGCCACAGAGAGAAATGTGCGGACCGTAACCATTTTTGCTACTGGTGCAAAGGTTTCATTGTAGTCGATCCCTTCAACCTGGTTGTTGCCAAGAATTACCAATCGCGCCTTGTATCGTTCAATGGTCCCATCAGAATTATACTTAATTTTGTACACCCATTTGCTTCCTATTGCTTTCTTCCCTGGTGGTAAGTCAACAAGAGTCCATGTGCCATTTTGTTTGAGCGCATCAATCTCTTTTTGCATAGTTTCTCTCCATCGGACATCTTTAACCGCTTGATGATAAAATCTTGGCTCAAAATTGGTTGTGATGGCTGCCAAGAAAGCTTGATGACCTGGTGAGAACTTTGTGTAATCAACATATTGAGCTAAGTCATAAGACGTACCTGAGAATGGTGATGGATTGGCTGAACTTGCAGAGGGACTTGCACTTTGAACTGCATAAGTCACACAATCCTTCAGCCGTGTAGAGACTTTCTTGGAACGAAGGCCACGACCAAGTGCTGTCACACCTTCTACTGTCTCTACGTTCTCCATTCGAGGTTCAATTGTTACACCTCCCTGCCTTACGTTGGCATTGTCATTCGGCACACAATCTAAACGTTCATGAGTTTCACGAACATGAGCAAGCTGCTCCTTTTCCTTGTCTCTTGTCTGACCGACTACCTCTTCTTCAAGGTAATCATCTATTGAATTATCCGTACAGGTTCGAACATGATCAGGTGTGTGGTCAACTGCACATGGAAACTCATCTTCACAAAATACAACATCCCGAGACACGAAATACTTTCGTGTTTCTAAATCATACAACCGCCAACCTTTCTGTCCAAACGGATAACCCACAAAGATACACTTCCGGCTTCGAGGAGCAAATTTGTCCTTCGTACGATTCAAACTCTGTGCATAACACAAGCAACCAAATGTACGAATTGACCGATAATCAGGCAAGTGACCATATAGCATTTCATAAGGTGTTTTTCCTCCTAGTAATTGAGAAGGGGTACGATTAATCAGATATCCAGCAGTTAACACACATTCTCCCCAAAATCTGATTGGTAAGTTGGCCTGAAATCGTAAAGCTCTAGCCACATTCAGTATATGTCGATGCTTTCTTTCCACTCGTCCATTCTGTTGGGGCGTTCCCACACATGAAGTTTGATGGATTATCCCTTTAGCAGAGAAATATCCCTTCAAACTGACGAACTCACTGCCATTATCACTACGAACTATCTTAACATTCTTAACAAATTGTCGTTGAACCATAGCAACAAAATTTGGCAAAATATGGCCAACTTCAGTTTTATCTATCATCAAATATATCCACACACATCTGGAAAAATCATCAACAATCGTAAGAAAATAAGATGCATTACAAGAACTCGAGACTCGATATGGTCCCCACAAGTCACAATGAATCAATTCAAATGTTTCACTAGCTCTACTATCACTAGAACAAAATACTTCTCTCGTTTGCTTAGCTTTAAAACAAGCATCACAAGTTTCATTTGAACCTAATTGAATCTTAACCCCAGAAATTAAACCTACGACCTTTGAAGACGGGTGCCCCATTCTCCGATGCCAAAGATCACATGAATCCAACGTCCGAGTTTGAAGTGCTTGGACTGGCGTCTTCTTTTTGAAGTAATAAAGCCCCTTGCATCGTTCACCCGCTCCAATCACCATCCTCGAAGTGCGGTCCTGTATCAAACAAAGCTTATCAGTGAACAACACATTACATTTTGAGTCATCAACCAATTGTGATACTGAGATTAAATTGCAATGTAATCCCGGAGCATGAAGAACATTGTCTAATTGAATATTTTGTCCCATCCGAATCGACCCTTTTTGCAATGCCAGCACCTGTTCTCCATTAGGCAAGCCAATGGGACAGCCTAATATCTGGTTCAAGCTAGATAGATAGCTCGAATTTCCTGTCATATGTTGTGTAGCGCCAGAATCAATTATCCAGATAAAATTTTCCTTACCAGTCATCTTCTCATTACTCCCTGATTCTGAGTTGCAAGCGTTCAACAAACTCACAACTGCTGCCCATTGTTCATTTGTCAGTCCTTTAGGAGTAGCAAAATCCTTTGTTGCAGCAGTGGATTCTTCAATTACTTGAGCTGCATTAACTCGTGCCCCATTTCGTCCTCTTCCTGACATCTTGCCACGTCCTCTTCCTCCAGTCTGTCTTCCTCGACCTGAACCAGACATTTTAGGTCGATCACCCCACCAATCGGGATATCCAATCAGCTGAAAACATCCATCAGCATCATGCCCTTCGCGATTGCAGTATTTACAAACGGCACTCCTATCCTTGATTCCTGTTTTGGCCTGAACCACAAAGCTAGCCGCTTCGTTGTTAATCTCTTTTTCCCTGGAGATATTTCGAACCCTTTCTTCTTGGCACATCAAGGAATACGCCTTGCTCACACCAGGCAATGGAGTTGTGCTCAAAATGTTTGATCTCACTGTTCTATATGCATCGTCTAACCCCATCAGAAATTGGTGAAGTTTTTCTTCTTCTCGTTTCTTTGTTAATTCAGTTGCCACATTACACGTACAACCCCCACACTTGCACGTAGAGATTGCGTCATAATTCACCAGTTCTTCCCACAGTCGCTTCAATTTAGCATAGTAACTCATAAGGGAGAGTCCTTGCTGTTTGCAATTTGCTAATTCTGTCTTCAGTTGCTGTACTCGTGCACCATCAGTCACTGAGAAACATTCTTTAATGTCTTCCCACAAGTTCTTTGCAATCTCCCTGTGTGTCAAAGTAGATCGCACCGTTGGCTCAATCGTATTCATCATCCACGATATAAGCATGGAATTCACTGTCCACCAGTCTTCTAATTCATCGGAATCTTCATCTGGCTGTGCTATGGTTCCATCAATGAATCCGAATTTCTTCTTGGCCCTGAGAGCAGTTCGGATTGCTCTAGCCCATTCATCGTAATTATCCTCCTTCAACTGTACCTGGGTGATTATATTTCCAGGATTATCATTGGCATACAAGGTGTATGGCGACACTATTTTCTTTCCATCTCCTTCCATGTTTTTCCAGTTGACAGAAGGTTCTTGCTCTGATACCATGAAAAGGTTTCAGCGGAAGAAGTTTTCATTCCTGTTTCTTACGCATTCGTCAAGGATATATATACATACAGCCCAAACCGTGGATATCGCTACCGATAGCTACTGATCCTATTTGAATACAAGTATAGCTAAGGATAACACCTAATCAGCTAGATATCTCTTTACCAATTCAAACTGATAACCAACTCTGTTACAGAGATATACATTAACTCTGTTACAGAGATATACATTATCCCTAATAAACATCTTATCATCACTGTCCCATAATCCATACGTGATCAACCTTCTTGGCATCAGTCATGACTCTTCCAACAACAAAGTTCTTGTCATGGAATACATGCCTAATGGAACCCTTCATGAAATGCTCCGCAGCCCCGTTGGGGCGTCCTCCTGTCCCCCGCCAACATGGCCTAAACGCGCCCAAATAGCTCTCCAGATAGCCAAAGCCGTGCAGTTTCTTCATGAAGCAAGGCCACCAATTGTCCACAGGGACATTAAATCAGCCAACATTTTGTTCGACTCGGATTGGAATGCTAGGTTGGCTGATCTTGGGCTTGCGATTAGAATGAATCATGACTCCCTGAACTGGCAAATTGACTCACTGAACCGACCAGCCGGGACTATCGGTTACCTGGACCCTGCTTATACCGTTCCTAGCAAGTTAAGCACCAAAATTGACGTATTCAGCTTTGGAGTGTTATTGCTGGAAATTATTTCTGCCAGGAAAGTGATGGATGTTTCGAGATCACCATCTTCAATTGTTGAGTGGGCAATTCCATTGATCCAAAAGGATCAGATTGTGGAAATATCTGATGGAAGGGTCCCTATTTCGCGATTTACAGACGGCCTGATTAGGAACATGCTGAGCATTGCTAGAAGGTGTATAAATTTTGGAGAAACTGATCGCCCGTCAATGGGAGAAATTGTCAGCGAGTTGGAGAACTGCATTGTTGAACCGATTAGATTTCCACTATGGATGAATCTCCTAAGGAGTCTCATTCACAGGAAAAACGGTTCCAGCAAGAGCAAGACTACAGCTAGAGCTGCAACCAGTATTGTCTGTGCACCACATCAAGAAAATGGTCATGCTGAAATTTCAAGAGGGAAATTGTTGCTAAGGGAAATATTGGCTGATATTTCTTAAAATAAAAAAAAAAAAAAACCGAGACGAGGGATTTTCTTTTCTTGAGCCAGTCAGTTGTAACATGAACTCAACTGAGTCAGGTGATCGAGCTTGGCAATTGGAAAGTCAATGATCATCCTAATCCATTGTATAAAAAAGGTTGGTCCTGCAGGATATTCTCCACCAAGCGCAAGATTATCAAAAGTTGTGTGGTGAGATATTAAAATTGGTGAAGCAATGAGTCATTTTCATTAATTTTCCGCGACCTGAGTATTGTTTCATCATGTTTGGTTCTATCAACCCCAAGCAACCCTCGTCAAAGTTTGGTACATAACCTTGTGAATTCTGATTATAGGTGTATGGGGAATTTGGAAATTTATCTGTCACCTGTAAGAGAACAATAATCTAAATGCTTCTCGATACACGAACTACAAAAATAAAAATAAGTAGGATTCTATGCGCTGTAATTAACTTTCCTTGCAAGAACATTGAGTCAATTATCCTTTTTTTAATGTTTAGTATCACTATCAATTTTCCTCGTAACATTATATTTGAATCATTTTATCCCTTACCCCCTTAGAGGATTGATAATGGCTAATCGTTTGAACATTGAGAAGTAAAACAAAGGAATGGAATTTTCTTTTTCTAATGGAAGCTTCTTTTTGCTGATCACATCTTGAAAGAAGAAGAAGAACCTCTAAATTAATGTAATCGAAAGTCAAACAACTGGATTTGTATGGATCTCTTCTTGTTTAAGGCGTCTATTCACTATTCAGTCGGAGCTTCCTTTCATCTAGGATGCATCTCAGATCCTTGACCGCATCGGGTTGTCTTTTTTTTTTTTTTTTGTCAAAAAAGTCGCATCGATAATGCTAATGTTGTAACTTTAGAAACGGAGCAAAGGTCTCTTCCTGATCAACTAACGGTGCTCCCACCGATTCTTAAAAGCCAGAAAGATTAACATAGGTTTGTTCTCCATTACATATAGTCAAAATAATTTCTTTCTTTCAAATTGTTAGGTCGAAACATTAGTATATATACTCGAAAATTACAGTAGTAATTACACATTTTTTGGTTTGTTATTCAATGTAATATATATTTCTGGATATATTTGAGTTTATATATTTTTGCACCTAACTAAGTTTTTTTCTAAGTCATTTCGGCTTAGGTAATTGTATAATTTTCTTTTATAACAAGATTTTCATATAGATATCTTCCAATCCATCGCAATTCTAGAGTAACCTTTTCGCCTTATATGACGTTGTACATAAATAAACTACGAAAAATATTTCATAGATGTAGGTTTAGATTCCATGATATATAACGTTGATTTCAATTTGAAGCATTCTTTTTCATGCAAGTGATATTTATCGTTCGGAGTATAATACAAAGTGCAATCAATTGGGTAAGTTTTTGGGGTGAAACATGCCTAGATTGGTTAATCAATGCATGGCTTAATCACCTCACTTAAATGTCAAACGCTCCACTATTTAAGTAATCATAGGTATTGTAATCTCTAAATCTTTTGCTTTATAAGCTTTAGTTTGCTAAATTTGGAAAGTTGAGGGATGGAAACGAAGGTAACTAAGAGCTTTAGCCACTAAGTTCCAAGTTAACAACCAACATGAATTCTTGTTGGCCTCAACCAACTGCCAAGACAATCATAATACTGAATTTCCAACTTAGAATCACCACACTTGATTATGTCCGATTCTATCTTGTTTTCTTGTTTAGAGCAATCAAAAATATATGTTCAAATAGACAAATACACTTTTTAACTTTAATGCACGTGTGTCCTTAGTTTTTTTTTTTTTTTTAAAGAAATTTCCACAAGTGATAATATTCAATCAGAGAAAGCATGGAAGGATTGCATCAATAAACCAATTTGTTTATTCAATTTGTTAAAAATTACTTAAAATCTTTTTATTGCTGCTTGTCATAAGTTCTACTTGTTCAAAAAAAGAGTTTTGGTAATCAATAGCCGTTGAGGTTATTGGCCAAGAACTTCTTTCAACAAAGAAATCAGAATTAAATCACTAATCCTTAATCTCATGTAAACTTCAAAAGCCGGCAACTCTTGAGACCATCCAGGGAACGAATAATCTAACCCCAAATCCCCCCAATGATCGATGTGGGATTTTTGGAAAGGCCAGTAAGGCCACTGATATTAAAGGTGTACTAATCCCGTGACAATCAGAAACCTCTCCATACTTTTTTTTTCTTTCAACGAAGAAATTAAAATTAAATTACTAACCTTTAATCCCAAGTAAATTTAAAAAATCGGCAACTCTTGAGATCACCCACGGAAGTAATAATTTAACCCCAAGCCCCCAAGGAACTTATTGGCCAGGAACTTCTTGTCTCGGCAGATCAGGGCTTGAACATGCGTTTTTAAAAAAAAGAAAAAAAAAGAAAAGAGTTATGATAAGTTGTACAACTAGCCCCGGAAAAAAAAGTAATAATAATAAATACTATGGGGTTGTGCGTAATTAGATAGGGAGAGGACTAATTTGAAGGGTCCCAAATCAGAGCCCTCAATCAAAAGTACAATTACCCGAAAATGGTTAAAAGAATTTTTTTTTGTCGGTATGATAGCCGGAGGCCCGTAAACCGGTTCAGTCACCATCCTGCAGCCGGTCCGAGTTAAATGTCCATCAATCCATGGCGAACCACAATCTATAACTCTCGTAATTAGGGTTCATAAGCTTTTCAATATTTCGTTCCCGATTTCAATTTCCCACTGATTGGAGATTATATTTCTATCCAATTCCACCGTTTTTTCCTTTAATTTTCCCATCTTTTACGTACTCAAAAATGTTTAGAACCCTAGGAGTCAGTCGTAATTAATTTCGTTCACAAGATTACCGGTGGTTAATTGAGGAGATATGGAGACTCACATAACTCACAATTTGTTTGAGAGGCGCCACATAATCAAGTCCAGAGCTCCTGCGGTTAAATGGACCAGAGAATGGTACAAATCCCCTCAACTTCTTATATACGTGTTCATACGTGTTTATGATTTTTTCAATGGCTGCTCTTTTTTTTTTTTGGTAATTTATATCCATTCGAAATTGTTTATAGTACTTGTTTATAACATTAGATGTTTGATGCATATTTAATGTGAAGAGAAGTGCATAAATTAATTGAGCATGAGAATTTGCATATAGGCTCATGGTCAGTTGGGAGTCGTTCTTGGTGCACCTTTGGACCTCAAGAGTATAGTGATCATGTTGATTTTCGAGGTTCTTATTGGTTTCTTAGTTCAAGAGTTTGATAATGTTAACTATGTCGATTTTCGAGGTTCTTATTGGTTTAGTTGGTAAAAAAAATCAGAGTTTGACAGTGTCATTATTCGTTTGGAATGGTTTCTTTTGCCTTTCAATAGTATGGTTTTTGTGATTATGTCGAGTTTTGAAGCTTTTCATGGTTTATTTAGCCTAATAGTTTGGTATGCTCTATTGTATACTGGGTTAAGTGTTTAGTTATTATGTCCATTTTTGAGTTTTTCTTGGTCTGCTTTTTACTACTGGATGGGCTGAATGATGTGTTTTGGTAAACAGCAAATATTTTTTTTTCTTGCTTGTGGATGGTATTCTTGTTTAGTAGGGGTTTTACTAGGATTTTTGGTGTTCAAACATAAAATTTTCTCTTCGCTGCATGACTTTTAATCTGACTTAGAATAGTATATGAGAAAATCTTTTTTTCTTGTATATATGTCTAGATGTTTTCTAAATTTGACTTGCTGTTTTCTTAGGGTGCCACAAGACGTTGTTGCAACAGGAGGAAAGTGCCTTCTTCTAAGATGGGTTAATGGTTAGTTTTTGATGGTTTCGCTTGAACAATGATACTATCTGGCAAAGTGGATTAGGATCGACTATTTTAGAAGGCTATAATACATGGCTCGTACTTTATTTTTCCCTTTCAGTTCTCTTACATAATTATCTAATTCTCATTGGTCGTTCTTCTTGCATGTTACTGAAATTCTCACTTTCACATGAATGTTCTTTTGATTTCTTTAGTTGATTTATTCTTTTTTTTTTCTTGGACAGACTTGAACAATGTCAGATAGGTTGTGATTGTGTTACATGCCAGCACAGACTTGAATTATAACCATTTGTTTTAACACTTTTGAAGCATGTGGGGCTGTTCTAATTTTTCTTTTACTTCACCTTTTCTTTTATAAGGTGCAGAGGTTGAAAGTTGTTGTGATAGAATGAAACTATGTTTTGTTATTTGGAATGAACACCTTGGGAGATGGTTGTTTAGATGGTTGTTTTGAATTATTGTATAAAATTGTTATTAATGTGGGAAGTCGATTCCTGTAATTTCCGACAATTTCCATTGGATTTCCACTTTGCATCTTATCAAGGTTTTTAAATGAAAATCCATGAATATTAGGAGTCAAATTTATGACGTGGGATAGATGTTGGCTAACAGCAACTTGAGATTTGTGTCCGTGCAGAAAGCCTGATTCAACCCTTTTAACTTTTCTCAATTTCATTAAAAAATTTTAACTTAGCAATACATAGCAAATCCTGAGGAACTACTATTGTGATATGAGGAAATCAGGAGTTAGTTTATCTGAACGGCGAAGGATTTTATTTTCTTTCTACTATGAGCAACTGGGTGTCAGAGGGGTTGATCTCTAAGTGGGATGGTGAGCAGCTAAATTGCTTGGCAGTGAGTAACTTACTCATGGTTGGCAGAGAGCAACTAACTCAGTGAGATAAGATGGCAGATCTAAAAGCTTCAATTAGCTGAGCAAAATTGCTTTTTGCTGTTCTATTACCATTTCTGTGCTGTTGCTCAGTTATCCTTTTGTGTAATGTTTTCTGTGGTCAGCAGCATTTCATCTTCTATATCTTTTTTCTAAGTAACATTTTGCAGATGTAATTCACCTAAACACGTCATTTTTGCATTCTTTTTGTCAAGTGATTTTGACTTGAATTCTTGTCCCTTTTCTTTTAGAGGCCACATTGAAGGCTATCAAAGAGAAGAAAGAACCAGAAGTGCCAGAGCCAGAGCCTGAACCAACAACTGAAGTTCTCTTTCTTTGTAGTTATGAAGGCTGTGGAAAGACATTTATTGATGCAGGAGCCTTGAGGAAGCATTCACACATCCATGGAGAGAGGCAATATGTTTGCCACTATGAGAATTGTGGAAAGGTACTTTAATAAATATTTTCCATCATGCTGGACAATTAACTTTTAGATATAAAACCTTAGTCAAGGATGCGCTGGATCAACTTCATTTCAATTTTAATAAACTTTTCTGTGATTTGCATTGCTCTTCAAGCATTTTGGATTAGTGATTTTAAATTTCTGTGTTGAATTTCAGAATCGTTTCTTTTGTGTGAATCGTGTCGAAGGTTGATTGTTTCTCTTCCGCCCCACCAGCATACTCTCTTTGTAGGAGACCAGATCATTGCCTAAAATCTTGAAATATTGCTTCAGTCTAATTCATGAAAAAATTGAAGAATATTGTTGAATGATGGCCTCACATTCCTCTTCTTATTTCTCGGTATCGGACTTTTGAATTATGTTGCAGAAATTTTTGGATAGTTCAAAATTGAAGAGACACTTTCTTATTCATACTGGGGAGAGGGATTTTGTCTGTCCGCATGAAGGGTGTGGTAAGGTAATTAAATCTCTTTACTCCTGGAATTGTACCATTACTGTATGACTGCTTTTCTTCTTTTTCCTTTGTTAGTCTTTTTTAAAGTTTGTCCTTGGTCTAATTTTGGTTTACAATTTTTCTTTGATTTATGCTTCTTTGCTATGTTCATGTGTGATCTACCTTAAGTGCATACATCTCTCTTTACTTTTTCCCCTTCAGAATTCTTGTGAACACAAATGATTAGTTTTGCTGAGTTGATAATTATGATTAGAGAAGGGGACATCTACTGACCAGTATTTTTCCGGGCCCTATATGTGAGCCTTTATATGAATGATGAATGACCTGTTTATTTCTGCAACTTGAAGGTTATGAAATGTCAGACTCAAGACGACTATCATCACGCTCTTTTGCCTAATTTTGTCCTTTTCTTGATTTTTTATGTTGCAGGCATTCTCATTGGATTTCAACCTCAGATCACACATGAAAACCCATTCACAGGAGAACTACCATATCTGCCCGTATCCAGATTGTGGAAAGCGCTATGCGCATGAATACAAGCTAAAAAATCATATTGCGACTCATCATGAGAAGGTCTATAACTTCTCTGTTTCCTTCATTTTCTTTCCTATCATATAGTTCTGTTTCTGTCCATGAAGAATTGCCTAGTCATTCTCGTTCTACGGTTCTTGGGAGAATTGGCCAACTCTTCAGATGGTGGTTTTTTGCGATACATGACTTTGTAGGATAATTTTTGTTCTGTGCACGATGATTACATATATATATATATATATATATATATGTATGAAGGTTTACCTGTATGAGGTTTTAGCTAGCTTCTGTTTACCTTTTAGTACCTAAATGTATACTGATATGCTTGATTCTATTGATGTTCCAAAATGTTTTGAATAGCAATGGTTCTACCAAATGACTTGCTTGAGCTGTAGGTGTATATATATCAGATATTATTATGAAACAAGGGTGTTATTGGCTAACCAGGAGATCAGACTCAACATAGGAACGCTAAACAGTTTAATTTTGTTTGACATTTGGGTGAATCTGACAAGAGCAGCTTCTTGAGTTCAAAAATTACAAGTGGCTCTTTCTGAACAGTTATGTGGCAACTGGCAAGACTAAGGTGCTCTTCATGCAAAGTGATTGCATGCATAGATTTTGCAATAGATGTTTGAGAGCTGAGATTTTGTTACTTTTGTAGTTGGACTTCAAACGTTTTAGATTGCTTGTTTGTGCTCCTGTCACAGCTATCAAGGTCTTCAACGTATTCAAGCTTGCTGTCATTTGGATCTGAGTTTGTGACAAAGCATATGTGTGTGTTCTTGTATGTTAATAGTTGCTTTTAAGCACTCTCTATGGTGCTGATAATGGCCCTCATCTCTGCAGAATATGGTAGAAACTCCAAAATATGCCCTGCCACCAGAGAAGCCAGTGAAAACTCCAAAATCTTCAACAGCAGCTTATAGCTCGGCGTCATCAGACCGCCCTTATGCCTGCCCTTATGAAGGGTGTGAAAAGGCCTACATCCACGAGTACAAGCTAAATCTTCATTTAAGAAGGGAGCACCCAGGCCATTTTAAGGATGAAACTCCTAAAAATGCCCAATCAACTGCTGAAAATGACATGGATGAAGGCAGCGATCAAGATGCATACGCTGGAAAACGTGGGAACGACAAAATCCAGAAGCAAAGCAAGGCAAAGCCAAGCTTAAAGTTACCTCCAGCAAAAGTTCAACGTAAAAGCTCCAATGCTTCTCCAGCTAATGCAAGTGTCGCGAAAAAACCTTGGCCAGTAAAAGAAGAAGTATACGATGAGGAAGATAGTGAAGAAACAGAAGAGGAACGCGAAAATGTCGGGGACGGTTGGAGGTATGCCGAAAATGAAGACGATGACGAAGAGACGGAGTATGAGGACTGAATACACATGCATCTATGCACATAATTTGGTGTCTTTGCCTCGTCTTGTCTGGAACAAACTTCATGTCGTCCGTTTTCAGCGTCTGCCTCCAACCAAAAGTTCAAAATTCTGCCTGCTGCTTGAGAGACGCGCTCTAGCGCTAGTTCGACATGGTCATTCTTTATTTTAACAATTGGATGTAATTTTAGTCAAAAATGTTTTATTACTTTACTTGGTGATTATAAATTTGCCGGGTCTCTCACTGTTGAATGACATGACACGGAACTAGTCAACAAATATATACTACTGTACCTCTGGGGCACATTTGTCATACTATTTATGACTCATTTTATTTTCTAGCATTTAATTTGTGAATTAGTTAATTTTTACCAAAAATAATCTGTAAAAGCATTTAAAATAAAATTTACACACATACATATACACATACATATACATATATATACATGTTTGTTTTTTAAAAGAAAGCGCAACTTATTTTCTATGATCCGAAGTGCATTAAAGAAGAATTGCATTTTGATTTGAATTCAAAACAGTTTGTTGTATTTTATATTTTGTATTATAATAAATAACAAAATATGTAATGTAATACAAAAATAGACTTCTAATTAAAAAAAAAATAGAAAATGATGGTATACTTCTAGTCTAGTAATATTGTTGCAACTTGTATTAAATTCATTGACCATGGTATGTTAAAGTAGTATTTACTTTTTTTATTTTTTGTCAAGAACATATATTTTGCAATGACAAATCTCACTCCATTATAAAACTTTTAACCTCAAGATGGAAATAATACAGAATATTGGTCAAGCACACTAGATTATTTTGTTAGGCATTCATCTGAAGATTTATTCAAAATGAGGGAAAAAAATAAAAAGATATATTCTTTGAAATAAAAAGATTAGTCCTCTATGCAGCACTGCGCACCATATATATCTTATCTTATCTTACATATATAAAGCACGAATAGCTTGCGAACAGTGCCTGGTGGACCGGTTATGCCGTGATTTGTGTGAGCTTGAGGGGCATTTTGGTCTTTTGCTGATGGGTGGGAGTGGCTCTGCTGGTATTTTGCTTTTGTCCGCTGGCTCTCTTGCATTGTAACCTTGCTCTGTCCGCGTGGCTCTTCATTTTGGTAGTCAGCAATTACTATTAAGTTAGTGGGCGGTCAGCAAATGTCTTGAAAAGCTTTCTAGAGTCTTCATTCTTTGCTTTATGTATATTTCGCCTCACACGTATGTTTGGTTTCCTAAGCTCTTGTGTAATTGCAGTTGCTTTGCCTCCGATGGTGAGTAGGCAGTGGACGGTGTCTCCAGTGATCTCTGGTTTTGCAAAGTTTTCTAGAGTCTTCACTCGTTGCTTTATGTATATTTCGCCTCACACGTATGTTTGGTTTCTTAATCTCTTGTGTAATTGCAGTTGCTTTGCCTGCACTGGTGAGTAGGCAGTGGACGGTGTCCCCAGTGATCTTTGGTTTTGCAAGGTGAAATCTTCATTGTCTCACTTAGCTGATTTTCTGAGCAAGCTGATCTTCTAAAGTCTCCACTCTGTGCTTTATTTGCCCCTTTTTTTTTGATGGTTTGCTGTAGATTAATGTTTTGACAATGGGTCGGAATAGAGTCTTGAGTGGTGTTTTGGTCTTCTGGCATTGGATGGTAGTGGTTTTGGTGGAAATTCACTGCTGTCCGCATGCTATTATTGGATAGGAGCAATTTTGGGGGGTGTGCAATTTCGGCCTTGTTTCCTCTCTTCTTTTCTTGGCTTTCTTTACCAGGTGTCCAAGCAATTTTGGCTTTCTTCAACATTCCCCACGTGCTGTTCTCGGACGGCAACAAGTTTAGCAGTGATTTGAGGTACAATGGAACCACCACCGCTTGAAAGCTCTGCAATCTCCATTGCTCTTTCTCGCGCTTCTCTTGGCCTTCTCTGCCAGTTTTTTTACTCATCGTCTTCCTATTTAGTTGTTCCCTACACCACGTCTTTCTCCATAATCTTATCTAGAAATCTACAGTAGATTCCCTCTCAATTTTTCCTACACGCACAACAAAAATGTAAACACCTTTTCCAATTAACCCCATCTCCGTAATTCCATTTTTGAATTGTTTTGCCTCTCTTTCTTCTTATTTTTTTACTTTTAAGTGTTCTAGGTTTTATCATTGCATGGGATTTCAATTTTCATGTGAATGGTTGGATTTTTTCTTGAGTTGGGGTTGACTAAATATGTCATTACAGGAAGTGGAGAAGTGGGCGACGAAGGAGGAGAGCTCCTTCCATTGGCATTAGAGGGAGATTTATAGTTGCATAGGACATTGGAAACCACAAGGCTCCGATTGGAGTTCAAAGATAAATAGGCATATTGAGCCAGTCCCAAAAATCAGAGGGTAAAAGATAAAAATAAACTTCTCTACTCTAATTCTCACTTTTTTTTAATGCATTTTGCAGAGCTCCCACGAATCTTCCGTAACTTTCAAATTTAATTTTCCTAACCCAGAAAAACTACTCGGGATGTAATTTGAGAACTAATCTTTCTGAAGTGGCGTTGGACGCTGAAGAGTGCTGCTGGAGGGGAATAAACAACATGGTCGAGATTCGAAAGAACCGTAAAGAAGAAAGCTTGCGGAAGAAGCTCCTGCAGAATGCATTTGCTGTTCAATCGGATACCTCTTCTGTCGAAAAAAATGTCTACATAAATTAGAATTTATATTTTGTTCCTTTGAAGTTGTTGCTGCAGATGGCTTTAAGTAGGGCTGTGATCAAATTTAAATTTCCGATTGTGTTGTTTTTGGGCAGGATTTTCACAATTTTTTTACAGTTTCCTTGTGTTTGAATAGAGCTAGGGCTTGCACTTCAGCTCTTTTCTTGAAAGTATGTCAAAAAAAACACACACACACACATACACACACAAAAGTAATAAAAAATATACCACAGCAGAAAAAAAAAAAAAAAAAAAAAAACCAGTCAAGGCTATCTGACGCATAGCGGGCTGAAAAACTAGTGTATCAAAATCCGCCAATATACAAACGAATCTTTTCGAAACCAACCCAGAACGCCTCTTTAAACCATTCATCAACATAAGCCCACTAGACCCAATCCAATATCCACTCCAGTCCAACCCGGCGGCCACCTCTCCGACACAGCGCCCACTCCACGGGCTTGCCCTCCGCCGTAACCTTTCTCCTTTCGTACGGAAGCTTCAGTCGGCCTTCTCCTTCCCCTTGCTCAAGGGTTCTTAAGTTTAGCGCCTAAATACTGGTATGGAGATTGGTTTCTTATTATTGTTTTTGGCGTATTTTTTTTTTGTTACATTGATTTGGTCGGATTGATTTTGCCTATCAATGTTTCTGGGATGTTCTTCAGGAGACCGAATTTATACAACTCCCTTTCTGTTAATTAATGTTGTAAAATTTTACATGGTCCGGAATGCTTTTATAGTCTCCGAAAGTGTTGCTGGTTCCTTTGATCTTTATTGATTTATTTGTTGCTTTTTTTTTTTTTTTAATCATCTGTGCAATTTTACCGATTTAAGTTACAGGGATGTAGATTACGTTATTTGAATACATACCTAGAGGCTGGCTCATCATGCTTTTAGTCCTGATATGGATTACTATATGCTTTTATTATTTCCAAGTTAAGCATTATTTCCGTCGTAAGAAGCATAATTTAAATACTAGCATCAAGTTTGTAACTTGTCCTTACTTCTTGCCATCGACGTACCTTGGTCATCTCTGAGCTCATACAAATCTTCACATGTCATACGTACAGTTCGTAGCCCCAATGAATAAAGGAGGGGTAGGAGGAGTTGGTCTTGGAAGCGGTGGAGGAGGCGGGCCAACTGCTGCTGCAGCCGCTGCAGCTGCTCAAAAGCAGAAGACCTTGTTGCAGAGAGTTGATGCTGACATTGGAAACATAGTTGACAATTTTAGTTTCCTTGTTAATGTTGCCCGGGTAATCTTACTCTTTCTCTCTCTCTCTCTCTCTCTCTCTCTCTTCCACAGGATGCTTATTCTTGGCAGAATAGTGTTGAGGCAGTTTAGGAAGAGTCTAATTTTGATTTCGCATTGTAGTGTCACATAATGTGATAGATTTAGAGGGCTGCTAGTTCTCCCACTGACTACTTCAAATTCTTTCTCCATGGTGTCTACTAAGTTTCGGAACTTGATATGAGAATTGGACTTGTTACAGTTTACTTCCTGCAGTGGTATCTTGATAATCACCCAAAAACACCCTAATAAAGCATAAATAAAACTTAGGAGAAACTTTTCAAGACCCCACTTCAGAACTATGACCTGAAAGGAGGGGAAATGACTGAAAACATTGGCAAATTTGTTTTCTGGGCGCATATTCACCTTGTGGATTTTGTTTCTTTGAGGATGGCACAAGGTGCAGTATCATCGCATGGCCGATGGATGGTATAAGCTCCTAACAGATCTAAATGCGTTTTAGGTGAATGATCCGCCAGTAAGAAATTCCCAAGAAGCTTTCATGATGGAAATGCGTGCAGCCAGGATGGTAAGAAATCTCTTATTTGTTGGACTTTATGCAGGTGTTTATCCTTGAATAGCATTGCTGAATGGACATTACAGATAAGCTACATAGCTAGGGGATGAGATTGAAATTGTAGAAGCTTTCTCAAGGGATTGGAGACTGAAAGATTTATCGTGCTCACCGTCTGCTCTTCTTTTGTCAAATCCTTATACTATTTTGTGTGCGTCTTTGTGGGTCCATTTACCATTAAATTCCATTATCTTTGTTTTTCCCCCCTTCTGTTTACTCTAAAAACAGGTGCAAGCAGCTGACTCATTGCTCAAGTTAGTCTCAGAGTTGAAACAGACAGCAATCTTTTCAGGATTTGCCTCTCTTAACGACCACGTAGAGCAGAGAACAGAGGAGTTTACCCAACAGGCAGAGAAAACAGACATGATGTTGGCCAGGATTGGAGAGGAGGCTGCTGCTAGCCTAAAAGATCTTGAGTCACACTACTACTCCTCTTCTCAGAGAACAAATATGCCCTTTCCTGCTGATAATTGAAAGAGAGGGATACCACACTCACCTCTGGGCTGCGAAGTCGCTCGAAATGCGTGATTTTGGTAAAACTAAGACGAATGCTGTACATGCAAATTGTATCTTTCTTGAAACGCGGAGGGTTTTCCTTTTGAGGTCCATACTGAGCCTCTTTTGGTTGTGGATGCCTTCAAAAAATTAGCTGTATCCTAGAATAGATTACACATTTACGTAGTTGAAAAACTTGTTTCTGAAAATAGTCTAATCCAAAGAGAGTGTAAATCTTAGCATGCCGTGGTGGATGCTAGCTATCATATGGGCATTGAATGGTAACTGACTTCAGTCGATGCTAATTGCGAGGTATAATCCGTTTTACCTATTAACATTTTTCTGCTGCCAGTAGTCCCTCAGCCATAGTAGCTTTTAGAAATTCATTATAGATGATCCTCCCCGAATACCCCCCCCCCGGGGTGCCTCTCTTCTCTCAGGCCAAAAAAACCATCGTCCATGACTTTTGAGTTATAATGTGCATTATTCCTGTTGTTGTCTCCGAGTTAAGCAAAAAGGTAGGGAAAAGGAGGAGAAACAAATTTAAAAAAAGAAAAAAGAAAAAGAGAAAGGGAAGAGAATAAAACTATAATAAAAGAAAAATTGGAGAACTATGACGGACCCTCTTTAACTGATTCATTTTACGAATTAAGACATTGTTGTCTGTGACAATAAGGTAGTAATGCGCTAAAATCACAATGATGTGGTAGGGCCTAACGGATAAAGAACGTTCGTAGTTCGCTAGTTCAAACTTTAGCCAAGATTCATGTAAAAGTTGTAATCAAAGAAGAAGGTCCAAAATAAATGCATAGATCCTGTCTTGTAAATAATTCGAGCATCCTGTGGAAAAGAATGAGGCTCAGCAGCTACACAGGAAGAATCCTAAAAAGATATGATTCTAAAATATAGAGTGGAGCAAAAGATATGATTCTAAAATAAGAGCCTCTAATCCATGCGTTTAATGGGATTTCACGTACTCCTGAACAATATGAAGACCTTCAGTCTCTTCTCCATAATCCTGCAAAATGATTAGATCATTAGGTTTGATGAAATAATTTGCCTTATTCCAGATTAAGGAAGAAAATGGCCGGAGAGGCTCCAGGAGCTTAAGAGGGAACCAAAGCATAAGGAAAAAGCCTATCCATTAGACCCGCTTATTATTCAGATATTACCAGCATTTTAGCACAAAGTACGTTTTATAGCTTGCTCTGTCAACAAACACACTTTTTCCCGAATAAGAAAAGAAACTTGCAGCGTTTACTCAATAGTAAGGGGATGAGCCCATAGAGATATGAAATCACAAAATTTACCTTCACAACAATGCAGGAGCAGCCAACTACCTTCCTTGCATTACCTTCAGAATCAATTTTACACAACTGTAGACAATAAACAGAGGGACTGGAATTAACAGAACAACTACTCGTATTCTCAAAGAGGAGTGTTAATCTGAAAAGAACATCAAACTGTTGGCAGTAAGAGAGCACAAACATAGACAGAGCATGCATGCATAGGAATTTAAGAGTCTTTAAGCTTCTTAAAAACTTGCATTCTAGTTATCCAGATAAAAGAAAGGATAGGTCATGCTTAAAGCTTTTAAATTGTAATCTGCAAAAGATAGCTAAAAGTAAGAAATCATTTAGCAAATGATAATACTTACACCAGCCCATTCACCAAGAGTCTTGGCACTAGGTACTGTAATCAAACTGACATTGTGATCAGCGCAAAGAGCCTTGACCAGTTTTACAAAATCTGGCTGGTCACAATCCTCTGCTAAGACACAGAGTTGTGCAGCATGCTTCTCAATTATTTTAGCAGCCTCGCGCAGACCTCGAGCAAGCCCTCCATGAGCCTTTGATTTTTTCAATACCAATTGCAGAGCAGTCATGATGTCCATAGGTTCTCCAAGGGCAGGCGCAGGACTCTCTGCAACAACAACATCCTCTCTGTTGCAACAAGGGATACACAAACAGAACCATCATCACATAATTGTAGGGGAAGAAGATCAAAGATACAAAATTAATTGATGAACGTTTCTCCTCCTGCTGATAACGTGAGATAATTGAATGACAACTTCAATAGCATTGGCACAACATGGGACCAAAAACTGGATGCTAGAAGGTTTGCTACAGATACAAAAGTTTGTGGGGCTTGAAAGCTACTCTTTAGACTGGAGTGGAGTGGCCCATACTGCCTAAGAGACAGACGCAAAACTAACCCAAAAAGTAGTAAAGAAATTGACGAAGTCAAACAATAACAGACCAAGAATTCAGCATATCAGAAAACTAACATAACATGATTCAATGGCACTTGAGCTGCACTGCAAGTATGTAGCCAATCATGCGTAAGTTGTTCTCAACCCAATGGTTTCATCAGTCTAGTCAAGTGATCTTTCTCAAATGTACTACAAAATAATATCCCTTTTCTTCCAAACCCCATTTGCTTTCTGGGTTCAACCATCCATGCTTTGACAAAGAAAAAAAAGCGCTCGGCATTTACCTAACTAGTTTCAATTAATCGACAGAGACATAAATTTTCAAGTAAATCAGAACAGCAAAAAATTAAGGAAAGAAAAAAAATAAAAGAATACAATTTAGACATACCCAGACATTTTGGCAGACCGATATCAACGTTTAAAAACCTCTATTTCCTGTGACGAGTAGGCCAAAAAACAAAAAGAAAGTAGATTAAGAAACAATCGGGCAATCAGTAAAAATCCAGCAAATCTGCTCTCGTCATATTCCAAGATTAGTATCTTATGCAAGATAAACATGAACAGAATCTGCCAAAACAAGCATAATATTGTACTATAGAGTAGCGAAGATGGGAGGACCTGGAACTTTTGAGGCAGCAAATCTTCTCAGGCGGGCTGCGTAGAAGAAACAGTAAAGGGAAAGAGAGCCGAGGGCTTTCGAAGGGTTTATAATTCATGCCAAGCGTACAGGAGTACAGGACCATTCTTTTGCAGAAATTGCTCAATGGTCCTTGAATTTTTAATATTTTTTCCCATTTACGACTTTTCTTGTAAAGTTTGTCATAGTGCACGGAAGCAATTGCTATTTGCTAATCAAAGTAACGACCGTTAGTTTATCATTGATTAAAAAAAAAATCAACATTTAATTGGATCGTGTGAGTATAAAAACATTTTATTTTTGTTAAAATGTTGAAATTTAGGGTACTAAATTTCTGTTGTCTTGTCAGCAAATACCTCTCTAGATAATCTCTCACGTCCGACCTATATATCTTGTCAGTAAATACTTTTTAAATTGTCATTTTTCTTAGGGGGTGATCTTCATCCTTTGCTTTCTTTTTAACCTTTTTAATCACCTCAACCTCTCAAGTTTCTAGAATAATGATTCTGTTGTTGTCTGTGAAGCAGCTTGTGCTTGATCCGTAACATGTGGTTATTGTTTTGTTACACTTCATTGGTGCTGCTAGTAATAAAAGCAAAGTAGGAACTAGGAAGAAACAAAATCAGCATGGCTGGTGTGAGTTATAGTAAGCTCTCGAAGTATAACTGTCTATGGAAAATCCAGTAGCTGCTAAGAACCACATACAACACGAAATGAAAGCCTTGGTGTTTTTTTTTTTTTTTTTAATAAAAAATTTTGAGTGAGTTCGGTTCCGATCACTGTCATGGGTCAAGAGCATAAATTGTTCGTAGAAATTCTTACGTACCGCCGCCAACACAGCTATCGTATCGATATCGATAAGGGGATTCAAACACTTCTTTCTGTGCCACTAGAATGAGCATCCAAGGGCCTCTGTAGTACCCGTCACTGTAGAGTGTGACATTCATACGCAACACATTTAGCAATTAATAAGTAACAAACAAACAAACAAATGAATAGGTTCATATTCACCTAAATTGACGTGGATCTCCATGATTCCTTAGTCCTCAAGCAGTCACATATGCTTGACGTTTTCTTTTTTCCTTCTTTTGAGATGCTTCATCGACAATGCTCGCAGAAAGGAGAAACAAAAAAAGGGCAAACCCGAAAAAAAAAAAGGGTAAAGGAGCGATTAGGACCATAGTTCTGCAAGCACGAAAATGTCGTAAATAGTGGTGAGTGAGATAGTGAGAGCCACCACGTCTGTGGAGAATGCAAAGCACGGCCAAGTGTAAAGGCGACCCCTTTGCATGGCTTATTGGTGAAACCTTGGACACCGGCAATTGCTTCTTTTTATTAGATTGGCACCATCAGTGGGTGCAAAAGTGAGAAAAAAAAGCAACTTTGTGTCTCCATCCTATTATATTCATTGTATATGATTGTGCCACTCTATACTATAGACAAGAAAGCTCGAGCAATGTTACCGGTATCTTCGGAACCTTAGGTTGTGTTTGGATTGCATTTTCCGTTATTTTTCATAGAAAAATTACTATAGCGATTTGATATATGTGAGGGAAAAAGGTGATAGGGAAATGTAATCACGGAAAACGATAATATTTTTCGACGAAAATAAGCAATCCAAACAAGGCATTAGTCATGCCCGGAAACGAAATGACCATTCTACCTTTGTAGCTAGATAGAAAGAAGCAAAAGAAATGTACTCCCATTATTCTATCTATGGCTGGCCACATTGTGTAAATTTATTTTTCCTCCTAATTAAGACTTGTTAAAATTCAGCAATATTATCAAAATTGTGAAAAGCTTTGGGTCTGAGTTGGAAACAATCAAACTAAAAAGTTGAGTTGCTAGACAGATCATTATTAACTTTTGACTAATTTGTAGGGATCGTTGCTTCTATTTCTTTTTTTTTTTTTTAAAGTATGTGCAACAATTCCTTACTTGGTACTACTATATGTTTTAGATTGTTACTTAACCGTTATATCATCGACATCAAAACATGTATACTATACAGTTTGAAATTATAAATAATTCCTCACAACATTCACCTTTTTTCCACAGACGAATTTTTTTTTTTTTGGGTGGAGAATTAATTAATTAACCCAATTTATTTGACAAAAGAGCCACCAGCAAAACACCAACCATGTAAATATCAAAAGGAACACGGGGCAAGGCTGCAAAATTGGCAATTTTCTTTTTCTTCGTTTTGAAGATCTTCGAGAGTAATTAGTAGATTATAAATAGGCATTGGTACGCTGCGTTTCATGACCAAGTTACAACGGTGTACAAACATCTGAAGACTGAAAAGAGTACTGAAAACACTCCTCAAAAATGGCCGGTGAATCCTCGGCGGCTGCAGCGACATTGGCGGTCTCTCCGGTGACGGAGGAGGAGATTACTTTGACGGTGAAGTGGAGCGGGAAAGAGTATACAGTGAGAGTGTGTGGAGACGACACTGTTGGAGAGCTGAAAAGGCGAATATGTGAAGTAACCAACGTGCTGCCTAAACGACAGAAGCTCCTTTACCCCAAAGTCGGCTCAAAGCTCTCCGATGACTCTGCTCTGCTCTCACAACTATCCCTTAAATCCTCTCTCAAAATGACCATGATCGGGTTTGCTCCAATCCCTTTTACATTGCTGCGAACATCTGTTTTTTTTTTTTTTCCCATGGTCTTTAAGGTTTTTTCTGTACTGTAATATAGGGTAGTAATATGCTTCTGGAAGTTGATTCTGTGAAGAATTGAAGGATCTTGGTAAACGGGCTGTCTTTATTTCTATTTTTTCTTCTTTTAAAGTCTTTTGTTGTTCAAATTTGTAGCAGTAATAAAAATCTGATCTTTTAATCTGTTGCTTAAGCCGTTAAATCATAAATGTGTGTGCTACATCTGCGCTGTATGGGTCTATAAATTTGTTGTTGTAATGGAACTTTTGACAGCTACTTGTTATGTATAGGCATATAGAGTATGTTGTTGGGATGTATAGGCACGTAAATCTAGTCAAGGTTTAAAAAAGTGTGAAGACTGATTAGTACGAGCAAAATCACGGTACTCATCACGTTTTTCAATCCTTTTTAAAAAAATTAGACCAAGATTAGTAATCTATAAACCTTTGTGCTAGAATACACTATGTTTGTGGTTTAATTGAATATCTTGGTGAATTGTAGAATTTATTATTTGGCTTGTTTAAATTCTAGGTAGACTGTAAGGTTCAAATTTTTGAAGGAAAAGGAATTCTGGATCCATAAGCCTGGATGACACTACTATTCAGTCTGATTTAGATATTGGAAATAGCTTACTAAGTGGCATGAGTTTTGGTATGTAAGGGGAATTAGTCTAGTTATGACATTTTGTTTTGCTCTTCTCATTTCAAATATACTTTGTTTTGCAGCACCGTTGAAGATGATATATATGTGGATCTAGTGGATCCCCCTGAGGTTGTGGATGATTTTGAACTTGGGCAAGATGAAGTCATAGAAATCAAAGATAAAGAAGTTAACAAACAGAAACTTCGGAGGCGCATTGAGCAGTACAAGGTAAGTTTATCTTTGTAAATTGTCCAATATGGGGAGCTCTATTGATGGCATTCCGATTAGGGATTCTATCAGTTGCGAGCAGTCAGCAAGGGGTTGTTGTAGCATAAGTAGATTCCCCAGTAAAATCTAACCAATGGATGGATTTTTTTTGGACATATTGTCAGTTGCAATTTTTTGCTTTTATCATTCTGAGGAAGCAAGAAAAAAGATTTTTGTATTATTACTCCTTGGAGCTCTAGTTATAACTTTTCGTTGAGAAAATGGAAAATTTTCAAAATTGCTGCTCTGTGATGCTTCTCTGCTTGATTTAAACATTGTCAGGCTTCTTCTTTTTTACTTGTTAGATCTTAGTACTATGCATTGGCACTAAGCACTAACAAATCTCTATGAAAATTATGACTTGTGATTTTCTTGCAAGAGTTTTACTTAAAGTACCTACTGGATAACTTGCCCAATTTAGTGGAGGAGGGTTCAGACTGCTTGCTGGGTGCCCACCTGAAGCTAGAACAGGAGTGAATTTGTTGGACTTGTTTCTTCTTCTTTATGTTATTAGCCTTATTATGTGATAAAAGATGAGTTTGGGATTTCATTTAGGCATTGGCTGTTGGGGAGCTTTGCACAATGATTGAAGTTTATGTCTGTCAGAAGTTTGCAGTTAGATCTATTGTCTATTGTTCTTTCTGTGGAGTAGACTTGAGCTCCATTGAGGCTGGCTTCGGGATTTTTGCCTCGGGTCGCGGCAGTGTTTTATCTGTGGATTTGGGGTGTGACATTTGAAGTGTATTTTAGCATATGTATTACTTTTCACCTGGTTGCAAAATTGTGACTTGCATAGTTTAGTAGGTATAACTCTTGCTAATGATTGTTGAATCATTGGCTATTGAATTTAGATAGTGCTCCGCAACCCATGCCGTGAAGGTAAAAAACTACTTGTTCTGGATATTGACTATACCCTGTTTGATCATCGGTCATCTGCTGAGAACCCAATTGAACTGATGCGACCTTGTAAGTGTATCTTCATTTTTCTTCCTATGCTTTCTTTGGCGGCGACCAAATTCTGAACAACCGTCTTCAATAATCTATTGCAGATCTTCACGAATTTCTGACTGCTGCTTATGCGGAATATGATATTATTATCTGGTCTGCAACCAAGTGAGTTTTCTTTGTTTATTGTCATACAAGATTATTGTCAGGGTTTGTTTTCATTCTTTAAGCAGTAGGGCAAATAGCTCTTATATCATCTGTGGTAGTCACCTTCTTTTCAAAATTCATCAATACTCTTCATAAGTGCTAGTTCTATAATAGGTCAGTGCACCTTTCTGGACATCTTCTGCAACCATGGATTTTTCAATGTTGATGAAGCAAACATTGAAAATTACTAGTTCATTTAGGTGTAAGAGATAACAAAGTGACTCTGATTTTGGTTTATATCATCATTGTGGAAGTTGATAATTCCGGGACTAAATACTTTGTCTTGTATGCTTAATGAGTCATTCCAAAGTTTCTGGATTATATACAGCCATTTAATATCTTGTAATATAAATAAACTAGACTCAATTACTAATCTTAAACAAAACAGTGGCAGATGTAAGCAGAAATAGAATAACTAATATTCTTACAAAAAATATTGGGAAAAATGAAGAGAATAAAGTTTTTGTCCTAAACAGAACATCCAGAAAGAAAAATTCAAAGCAATTGCTAAACATGAGATAAAAAGTTAAATATGTTTGCTAAATTCCACACTCCAAAGTATGAAATGCTGCTTTTGAAATAGTATTGAAAACAGCGAAAGAGAACACTTCATGAAAGGGGAATGTTTCCCACGTAAAATGTTCCAGCAGTTAATGAAAGAGATAAAGGTCTTTGGTGTTGCATACTTCCAATGGAGCTTTGATTTTGGAACAGGCTGAAGAAGTTGATATTGCGAAAATATAGATGACACAGATAAGAGTTTCAGTGCAAAAAAAAGTAACTTTGATATTGATGTAACCCCCCTTATATGCAAGTGCTTGAACTCCATTGACTTTCACTTTTACAGAATGGAAGATTCCATTGTAGGCATTTACATCATAATACAGGATCTAAGCATAGTGGCAAAATAGGTCAACACAACATGTTATTACGATTCTTTTCCATCATTCTCTAGACAGTGTTATATGCAACTTAGAGAATAAGTCATTGGTTTTTCGAAATTTCCTGAATGCATTTCCAGCATAACTTTTGCTTTAAGATTGACACCGGAGTAGCTTGTATCTCTGTGATTTTGCTATATTGACTCATATGTAGAATTCATCTACTTGTTTCTTGATCAAGAAAGTTTCTACATATATGTATCCTTTGGACTTGTAGGCTTTGGTGTGCTGTGGATGATGGAACTTCACTGTTTCTTAAGCACCAAATGACTGATTGTTTTGTTTGCAAATTCCAAAATGATTGTGAATGATTGGAATTACATGGATTTCTTTATTGTGACTCATCTCTCTTCTTTTTTACAGCATGAAGTGGGTTGAATTGAAGATGGGACAACTTGGTGTACTCGATCATCCTAATTACAAAATTACAGCATTGCTGGATCATTTAGCTATGATCACTGTTCAATCAGATACTCGTGGGGTCTTTGACTGCAAACCACTTGGCTTGATTTGGGCACATTTTCCAGAGGTTGTTCACTTTACATTTTGCTTTCTTCTGGGTTTTATTTATGGTTGGATGGGCATATGGTGCTTGTTTCTCAAGATACTTTTTAATTTTACAAGCTTACACATGACCAACTGGTATATGCAGTGTAGCATCATATGATATTCTTTTGTAATCTGGAGCAACATACTACTAGATTGCTGACATATCTATGTCTTGCTATTGATGCTCTTTCCAGTTTTACAGCTCGAAGAACACCATAATGTTTGACGACCTACGAAGGAATTTTGTAATGAATCCTCAGAATGGGTTGGCCATAAAGCCATTCAGAAAGGCCCATGCAAATCGTGGCACTGATGAGGAGCTGTTGAAACTCACGCAGTACTTGCTTGCTATAGCAGACATTGATGACCTTAGCAGCATTGATCATAGCGACTGGGAGTCATTTAATGAGGACAGTTACAAGAGAAGACGACAAGAATGAATGGGGAGATTGGTTTTAGAACTGTATCTATACCCCTTAGGGAACATGTGGGTCTTATTTTGTTTGTCGAAGATGCAATCCAGTGTGTGTTTTGGTAGGATCTGAAGCGTCTTCTCTGCTTAACCTGCAATGGCATGGTGATAGGCGGGTTATATTATATCAAGTCTAAGAAGTTCACAAGGGGTATTGAAATTGGACTGTAAAAATTATGTATTCTCCTAACTATAGGCATCGGTTTCATGATCCATTTGTTCTATAAGTGGATGTGAAACACTGAAGGTCTTAATTCCTTAATCCTGACTCTCAGGCTCCAGAGTAATTCCGAGGGCCTAGTTTGGGGATATCGAATTTGTGAAATGGTTCCTCGTACTATACTATAATTGGTTGAAGTCTGGAGATTTTGGTCAAATTATTATTTTTTTTTGGTCGTTTTCCTTTTGGGCTTGTTGCTGTTTAGCCGCTCCTTTTAATCTGTTATATTCAGAAAATCACGTGTTCGACGTTAAATCAAACAAGGTCGCTTCAAGAATTGGTTCTCAAAATTGATGGGGGGCAAAGTAGCATCTGCAGTCACATACAGGCGAAAAAAGCAAGGGTGGATGGCAAGAGGCTGCTAAATCAGAGCAATAACAGGCAAAAGGGCTCTTTGCTTTGAAGTTACTTATTTTCGCAATTCCTTTCACTCTCGAAGAAGTAATCAAGTCCAAAGAGTCCGAACGTAATCTCTGCACGAGTGCAAAGGTGTTTTCATATACTGCCTATAGGAGAGCTAGGAATGGAGAAGCTTCCCCATGGCCGCCCGAGTCTTTGGTTGGTCTTTAAGATCGTTGGTTTTAGAAATGAGAATGTGGGACCCTGAAAATCCTCTTCGGCCCCATGTTGCCGCGGAGCGTTTCCTGTACTCTCTTCCTTTTTGGCACCTTGGTAATTCGGGAGGCTAATTTCTCGAGAATATACGTTAACAAAAAAAAATCCGTCAAATGTAGTTCTGACCGGAGGTGTTTTTCAAACTATACCTGTCATGTTGAATCAGCACGGCAGCAAAATAAAATTTTTAAATCGTTCTGACACAATTATTGTTTTTTGAAAAAAGTCAGACTCTAATTTTTTTTATAATCTGTTTGTCCCCTACCGTACCCAGTCAGTACGACAGGGAGACAGGCGGTTAAAAAAAAAAAAAAAAGAGCCAGGTCTGCGGTAGTTGCAAACTTGCAATACATTGCGTTGCTGTAACTACTGGTGTGCCTAGTGGGGTTATAGGAGGAGAGCAAGAAATACTTTGCATTATTCTTCTACTAGTGATTAATTCCTACACATTTATATGTCTTCCCTTAATTAGCTTGCAGTTTTTTCAGGGATATCTACAATAGTATTGGGTCTGTTTGGATTTAGCATTTTTTGAAAAATAATTTTTTCATTTACAATACTACAGTAATACACAAACAAAAATAATTCCAAAAACATCATATCCAAACAATATATCAAAAACAACTCCAAATATACAAAAAATATATTAATATATATATTTATATATAAATATTATATATAAAAAAATATATTTTGTTTAAAATATATTTATATATATTTATAAATATATTTGCATATATATATATTTATGTAAATATAAATTTATTTATTTACATATATTTATATAATTTTATAAATATATTTATTTCAAAAAAATAAAATTAATAAAATATCTTTACAAAAATATATAAAATTAATAAAATATATATACAAAAAATAAATTTAATTAAAAAATATATAAATTTTTATAAAAAAATAAAATTAATAAAAAATATATAAATTTTTATAAAAAAATAAAATTAATAAAAAATATATAAATTTTTATAAAAAATTAAAATTAATAAAAAAATATATAAATTTTTTTAAAAATAAAATTAATAAAAAAATGTATACAAATAAATAAATAAATAAATATAAATATAAATATTTTGTTTAAAATATATTTATATACATATTTATGTAAATATATAGTTATTTATATATATATTTATATAAATTTATAAATATACTTATTTCAATTTTGTTTTATAATATGTACATTAATATATATTAATATGTATATTTCAATTATGTATATTATATTTTATATATATAAATTATAGTAAAATAATATGTATATTTCAATTATGTATATTAATATGTATATTATATATATTATATCAATTGAAATAAATATTATATATTTATATATAAACATTAATATTTTGTTCAAAATATATTTATATATATTTATATAAATATATAAATATATTTATTTCAATTTTGTTTTATAATATGTATATTTCAATTATGTATATTATATATATTATATCAATTGAAATAAATAAATATATATTTATATATAAATATAAATATTTTGTTTAAAATACTTTGTCTGCTTAAAGGACAGGGTTCCAGACTTCCATTTCCTCCCTCCATCCATGTGCGCCAGAATCTTGTTGATTTTATAGACCGAATTAACCTCTCAAAAAAAGTGCATGTGATGTGATTAAGTGCCATTCTTGTATGGACCTCTCCCTAATATCATGGATTAGCAATATGTTGCTGGGAAGTTGACATCAGAATATCCAATTCTTCAATCAATTTTAAACAAATGATTTTGGTGGCTTTGAAACGGTCCAAGAGCCCAAGAAAGCCAGTAGACTCAGTAATAGTGCAGCTGCAGGCTTGCAGCTCATGCCATCATGATTGAAACAATTGGTGGAGCGGCTGCAATTTTTTGAGAAGATGTCAGCCGCTGTCGTGCTGACCGTGCATGGCAACAGCTGGAAAACTTCTGCCACGACTCAGAAGATGTCAGTCGAGTCGCGGCCGTGCATAGTCAGCATGGTGGCGGCTGACATCTTCTTATTTTTTTTCTTCCAACTTCTAAGGAAACCCCAAGAATTCGATAACTAAACTGAGCCCAAGAGCAATCGTCAAAAGCCGGCAACTTTTGACGACGCCCCAGGAGCTTAACTACCCAATCCTTAACACCCCCCCAGCCGATGTGGGATAGAAACCCCGACATCTTCTTAGCCTCACTAAAATTTTTGCAGTACCTGACTGACTTTTTGCGGTCGGATTGGGAATGGAAAATTTATTTTGCTATTACGCTGACGCTGAGTCATCACGGCAGGTATAGTTTGAGAAACACACCAAATCAGAGCTCCATTTGGTGGATATTTTTTTTATACGCATATTCTGAGAAATTAGCCATTCGGGGAAGAGGGGCAGGAACGGTTGCAGGAAGACTGCAACTGTTCCTGACAGTTTACGGACAAGATTTGATTAAAATAAATTGTATGGTTCAAATCTCATCTTGTATCTCGTTTTTAACAATATGTGTGGAATTCATAAAATTTTGTTCTAGAATTACATGTTGTTAAAAGTAAGTTATATCATGTGCAAACAGAATTACGCCGCGTGCAAAATACACGTAATCTTCGGGAATCGTTCTTGCCCCTGATCCGTAATTCGGATGTAACACGGCAAAATTGACGGGACAAAAACCTGTTTGATATGACCTTTGGCAGATCTACAAGAACAGGCCGGCTCATGTAGGAGATTCGGATACCAAGAAGCCGTATTATTCTTCCTCCTGTGAATACCTCTCCTTCCCTTCTATGAAGGTAATTGAAACTATCTCAAATTTCACATTACTGGCTCCTGATTTCTTCACCTCTTTTTTTTTTTGATATTTAACTCAAGCATCGAAGCTAATTCAGGGGTATAGCTCCACTCTGTGACCCTGTAATTTGTTGCTGGCAGAGTAACCTTATCAAGGTGTCTGCATCAACTCAGGAAAGGCTGATCCATGCATGCACAGAGAAAATTATTAGCGAGGGAATTGCCATTCTTGTACCTTACTGTCCAATGCGAACTCTGCATAATACAAGTATTTCTGTATCATGAAAAATTCAACTATTTCTGTATTGAGGGTATTGCCCTCAATACAAGTATTCTTGTATTGAGGGAACTGAACTTCTCGTGCAAAATACAAGTATTTCTGTATCACGTGAATTTTCGAAGTTCGTACGAATATAATCATATTGTATGGAACGATGAAAGCTCGTTCAAGTATAATTGTATCGTATGAATTTTTCTGGAAAAAAAAAATTGCATGAGAAACTTTATAATATGGATTGGATATGCCTTCCATACGGATATTTAAATACTAAAATTTGAAAAGAAAAAAATATTAACCAAATCCCTTCTTATTTTTATTTTTATGTTTACTTTCAATTCCACCTCCTTATTATTAGGAGCAGAAGTTGGAAATCAGATCTCAATAATGTAATTAAAATTAGTTGAGACCAAGCTTAATATATTATGCCTAATTGCTTGAAACCGTTAAATAGTACTGAGTCTGAAATGGTAGCTTGGCTTGCATTTTAGATAGAAAGTTGAATCCAAGTCATAGACGTCGTCCAGCATCTCTTCTGTCGTGGGTATAGTTTTTCCTAAAATAAAATTTTTGAATCGTTTTCTTTCATTGAATTTTTTGGATGAATAATAATTAAAAAAAAATGAAAGTTTTGGCTTAATCAGGTACAAATAATAACATCCATTAGTATTTTTTTTAAAAAAAAAAAAATCTGAAACTAAGATAAGTCTTACAATCCCATGTAATATTTGAAGTTTGAAATACAACAATGTGCGATACTACAGGCTAAATTAGGATATAGTACTTTCATCCATTAATTTTCAATTGTTCAAAAAAAAAAAAAATCTGATAAATTTACATTACAACTTGACATGAAATTATGGCATCTGATTGATATGAATGGACCAACTTCTCTTTAGTGCCTCCTTGATTTTTGGTCCTATTTAATGAATTCCAAATTCTGAAGAAAATGGGCACGCATGAAATTGTATTAATTTCTAAGGCAATTTGGCAATCACGACGAAGATTAGGGGTAAAAAAATGCTTTACGTCTTGCATCCCTTGGATTGAATGCATTGAAGTAACGAGTTAAAGATTCAAGAATTGCATCAGAAGAGAAGACAAATGTGAACGTGAACTAGTATCCAAAAGTCGAGGAGGAGGAGGTATTAGTTTGACGTTGACGCCTCAGAATATAGAGATTTTGATTTTAATTTCCACTCTTTTTTTTCCCTGCTAGGAAAAAAAAAAAAATATATATATATATATAGATCACTTGAGGGTCTGTCCAAGAAATATACTATAGCTCAGGACAAAATCAATGAAAAAGAAGAACAGAAGGGCAATTGAAGGCCGAAAATAAATGGAAAAGTTGAACGTCTGTTTGGTTCAAAGCACATAGCAAAACGGCAGGCCTTGGCCGCGGAGCCAAACGCGTGGGCTTTGAATCCGTAACAGTTCCAAAAAAAAAAAAAAAACCATCTCAAAACGTCATTGCTGTACAGCAACTTTCCTTCAACTTTAAATGGTTTTGGGGGGTCTACAATCACATTAATTATGATTCATTATCTCCTTCCTTTTCTGCACACTCAAGATAAACAGCAGATGACATAATGCATTGCATACTTCCACACTGAGCTGTCACCACATCTTCTCTCTTTATCATCTTACTTAATCAGTAGAAGAATCTCTCCACAAAACCCAATGTTACATGCTTCTTCTATTCTTGCATGTTTAATTTTGAGGAAGACGTCACCATCATCTTAATTCAATTCTCTTCAAAGAAATCTTTTGCCAAGCGCTACAAATTTGAGGCCTGCAGCGAGAAATTTGTCAATCAAGTGGAAAATGGATGGCAGCCCACTTCGGCACATTGGAAAAAGATCAATGGGTTTTGTTTTGATTTTGATGTCTTGGCTCCTTTTTTTGGTTCCATCAACTGGTAAGCGGAAATTATGTTTTCTTTTTCTTGGTGTTCATGTTCTCAATTAGCACTTGCCTAAAACAAACAAACAAACAAACAAAAAAGTTCTCTTTGAGTAGTACTAGTAAGTTAATGGGGGCCTTCAATAAGTTTTAATGACTTTCTTAAAATCTTTTCATGGTGAAAATTTCAGTTTTGTTGCAGATGCATACGATCCTTTGGATCCTCGTGGCAATGTTACTATCAAATGGGATCTCATGCAAGACAACGACGGTACACAAGACGTAAGTAAGTTCTTTCCACACACGGCAAATGTGCGTTGTGTGCGAAACGTACACGTACGACTCTGCGTCTGTGTGAGTGTGTTTTTCCAATGCATATCTGCAAGGAATCCACGAGTAGCTTTTTGTCGCGTCCACAAAGCCTTCTGAGGAACTTTCTTCTTTTACATTGCATTTGGAATTTTGCATGGGGTACGTATGTACGATGATGTATCTTGTGGTACAGCTATTACAGACATGTTGCTTGTTCCGTCCCATGTTGGGCTAGCGTCATTGGCCCTCCATTTAATCTTTGCTTCTGGGATTGAAATTTGCTCATCTACTATTACTGCCTCTGGTAATCTTAATAGTGCTTGCTTCATGCTGAATATTATTTTAATTTGCTGGCTATTTACGATGAATTAAAGGACATGGTTTTCCTTGATTTTTGAGTACTGCTGAATCTTGATTCATGCAAGTTTCCAGGAGTCTAGTTCTTAGCACCTGCCGAGTCGAAGGAAAAGTCGTACAATTACCATAGTTACCTTAGTAAACGTCTCCCCTGGTCGATTATCTTGCCCCAGCTAGAAACTCTTCTTAGGAATGGAAGCTTTAGCACTCAATAATGCAGACGATAATGCATTTGAATTTGCACTAACGCATATAAGTTGTTTTTGCGTCAAGAACTGAGGTTCATCTTCTCCAAAATTTGATAGGGAACCTCAAGTAGGGACAGCTTTGATAGTGCATCATGCATGTAAGACAGTAAGAATTACATCCTCTTGATTTTGGATGAATCACACTTGAAAGTAAGCATCTGAAAGGCAAACTTCCTGACCTCAATTACCTCATTCTTATAATTTTCTCCTCTTATCTTAGTCTCAAAGTGCTCGTAGAATCATCTAAGCTGCTTCAGTTGCTTAGAGTGGAGTTGTTTTCGTTTTACCAGGTCAGGGTATCAATTTTCAATTACCAGCTTTTCCGACACGTAGAGCCACCTGGATGGAAATTAAGTTGGATATGGCCGGGTAATGGGGTAATCTGGGACATATGGGGAGCTGAGGCCACTGAACAGGGAAACTGTTCTGCATTTAGAGGAAGACAGCTTCCTCATTCTTGCGAAAAGAAACCAGTTATCGTCGACCTTTTACCTGGAGCCCCTTACAACAAGCAGGTGGCAAATTGTTGCAAGGGAGGGGTTTTGACATCTCTGTCACAAGACCAAGCAAAATTTGGGGCTTCTTTCCAGATGAACATAGGTAGTTCTTCCGTAAATGGTGGTCCAATACCAGGCGTCCCTGCAAACTTCAGTCTTGGACTCCCGGGTTATACTTGTGGCGATCCGTTCAAGGTCCCTCCAAGCAAGTTCATTGAGGATCAAGGCCGGCGAAGGACTCAAGCTCTTGGTAAGCAATGTCAAACAAGCATTCTTGAAGCAGGAGATCTGATCTGTAGGGGAAGTATTTAGCACTCTTGCAATCTTGGTATTTGCTCAAGATAGACATAGAATTCTAAGTTTTGCAATTGATATTATTGTTTGAATTACGAGATAACAGGGATTCACTGCAGGTACCTGGAATGTTACTTGTTCGTACTCACAGTTCAGAGCATCAGTTTCCCCAACCTGTTGTGTTTCCCTGTCTGCATTCTACAATGACACAATTGTTCATTGCCCAAAATGCAGTTGTTCTTGCCTAGGACAACCTGGAGCAAAATGTGTCAAGTAGATGTCCATGTTCAATCTTTGCACTTTCTAAGTTTGCTACCCTAGCTTCTGATGCTATCTATAATCAATTGCTTTCGTTGTCCATGGCAGGCCTGGTGAACTGCCTCCTGTATTGCAGGTACAACAGGATCAAGAACCGGAGCCTGTGGTTCTGTGTACGCATCATATGTGCCCAATACGGGTGCACTGGCATGTGAAGCTAAGTTATACACAGTACTGGAGAGTGAAGCTGACAGTTACAAACTTAAATCTTGTCAAGAATTATAGTCAGTGGAACTTGGTAGTGCTGCATCCCAACTTGAGAAACATAACACAGGTCTTCAGCTTCAATTATAAGCCTTTAAATCCATACGGCCAAATCAGTAAGTTTTTCCTGTTCCCATCATTTCTACCGTCAATTGAATTGCTCTTGTGATCTGTCACCTCTCCAACATTAAAGAACAATCAAAATTTTGGGTTTGGAGGGCGTTTAATTAAAGATTGATTTACGCACCAGTTTTCAATTATGAAGATCGATCAATCAATCAATCTACACACAACGAGAGTTTTACAATTTCTCTCTCTCTTACTTCAGATGACACCGGAATGTTCTATGGAATTCAGTATTACAATGACATGCTGCTGCAATCAGGGGAGAGCGGAAATGTGCAGACAGAGCTATTGCTGCGCAAAGATCCAGGGCTTTTTACTTTCAGGAACGGATGGGCTTTCCCAAGAAAGGTTTCCTTCAATGGTGAGGACTGTGTGATGCCTCTACCTGATGAATTCCCAAGACTGCCAAATGCAGACCAGTTGGAGGCACAGCCATTACCAATCTCCATCGTAATTCTGTTATCATTCATTGTATATTCAATGATTGCATGAAATTTTTGTTGTCCAATCAAAGATTCTTAGAGATGCATGCCTATGTGAAATTAAAAGGCTTAATTGCAAACTGTACCCTTAAACTAGTACCGGTTTGTACATTGCACCCCAAACTATGAATTGTAGCAATATACTGCCTTTATCTTGAATTTTTTAGCACGTTACTCAATTACCATTAATTTGGCGGGATGGAGGTTCGTGAAAAGACTTCAAAATCCTTGCAAAATATACGTACGTTGCCTAATTTGACCTTTTAAGACTCCCACAATTGCGACTAATTAATGACATCACAAGCAATTTTAGTTCACATGCAAGGACTTTATTTTCTCTTCTTCTCTATTATTTTTCCATTTTTTCACAGTTAAAGCAAGAAAAAAAAAAAGTTTGCTGCCTAATCTTTAATTGGGTCTGACAGAACTTGGACCTAAATATTAGACCTGAACTAAATGTGAGCCACATTTGTGTTATACTAGACTTAGGCCCAATTAAAACTCAACCTATATATGAGCATAATTATATATGTAAAAAATATATAATAATATCTATAATTTATAATTAGCTATACTACATATAGAGGGGGAGGATGGGATTTTGGATAAACAAAAATCTGTCATTTTATTACTTCCTAAACTACCCTTCATGATAAGGGAAATTTTGATATAGACAAAAAATTATCTATCTTTGATAATTGCCTACTACCAATATGATTTTTTACCAAGTAATATGTATTTTTTTCATATTCTATTTTTCAACTTATTTAGTAAATCTTAATTTTAATTAGCAACTACCAATTATGGTTATGAATAACTATCAAACAACTGCTTTTTATAACTTTTATTTTAGTGATCTTTTTACATATATATATTTTCAAAATATAAAACCAATTTTCTTGAAAATGATTTCAATAAACATACTCAAAATATTTCACAAATGTTTTTTTCTGTTAGTTGCACACACATTAGTGTGTGCCTTGAATACTAGTACATATTAGAACATAAAATGTTAATAATTTATATGTAAGTTTTTATTAATATATAATTATAAAATATAATATATATAATTATGTATTTAATTATGAATTTGGGCTAAACCTGATTTGAGCCCAAACTCATATAATAGTGTGAGTTGAACTTGAACCTTTTAAATATAAATCCAAAGTTCAAAATCCCAAAATCCGAAAATCTATGTAACTTTTGAGTTGAATTTGAACTTGGTGAATTCCAATTTAAAAACAGCATTCCGCAAACGGCTGCCTATACCCTGTAGGCTGAGGAGCAAAGGGAGGAATCCGCCCGAGGTAAAATAAATAGAAAAGAATAATAGTTTGGATGGTATTTAGTAATTTTCCTTTTTTTAGTATGAGATAATGGTATCTCGTCTTACTAATGAATGGAAGAATTTCTAGGTTTGGTCGTAAACCTAATTGGTTACTTCCAATTACCTAAATCAATAGCTCAAACCTTAGTCAAGTCTTAGCTTTCAGTAAACGAAAGATTTTGCTATATTTTTGCGGCAAAAGACCGCGGGGCAAGGCAAAATTCTAGTTCATACCTCAACTGTTCCGCTTAGGTTCTAGCCTTCTAGGTCCTCCCTCTGTTGATGCATACCAACCCTATATTCGTTTGCAAAGCTCGCCTCCCCCTGCCCTCCCCACAACCCCGGGGCATACCCAGTCTAAGGAAAACAAGAATCTCCAAGGTTTGCTAGTAGAGCAGTGAATGCAACCGCAAAAATATTTCTATTCACCATGTCCGTGGTAATGCAATATTACAGAGTGCACGAGGCGAAAGAAAATAAATTACTGAAATGGCATAAATAATCATTCTTCAGATAACCACCTCAGGTAAGTCAATTGCCAAAAATGTCAATCTGATGGCAGTGACAACCAGGTGCAAATGAGGACTACAGTTAATAATAAACTCTCAGGGGGGAAAAAATGAGAAGAACAGAAAAGAAGGAGAAGATTAACAAAATATGACATAAAACCACGAACTAAGGCAACAGGCAAAACCTGGAGTGATAAAAAGCAAAAGAGATTAGGAGACCTCGGCTTGATCCTTCCACATGGAAGCCACAGTTATGTCTCTGGTAGACAAAATTAGTTGAAGAACCGTCAGGAGGCAATGCAAACGCCCTAGCTATTATGCAGCGATTAATGTACAATGATCAAAGGTTAAGTTGGCCAGGAGCGTGATCACGTCCAGAATTAGCATCCTTTTGTTTCAGAGAAAGGTTAGCCAGCTGAAGATCAAGATCTTTACTGTTATTGCGTCGATGACTAGAAGGTTGCTGCTGCTGCTGCTGCTGATACAAGTTTCGTAATCTTCCTACTTCTCTATCTAGTACTTCGTGTTCCACTGCACATAGCATTGATCAAATTAGTTCCTGAAAGAAGAAATAGCTGAACTTTCTGCATAGAAACTGTCTGAGCTCTTCAATCAATCACAGAACCAAGGATTCAATACCATTATGTGCATACCAGTGCTAATTTAATACTTTAGAGATACCTAGACAGAGAAATAGTCCAAATGAAGCAAGGATCAAACACCAAAATGGTTCATTGGTAGTTGCAGACAATTCTTATTTTTAGCTATTGCATGCTTGATTCAATTATAACAATTTTTGTAGCCTAATCCAATACTAGGCGGCTTGAGTGAACAAAGCACTCACTTCTCACAGATCTAAATAGGTAAGTCAACTTCATCCCTTTGCCATGTATTTCCCTTAGAACAAGCTAGAAGCGAAGTGCTTCCTTGTATTGGAAAGTGAATCCAGGTCATTCCACATGGAGTACTCAATGAAAGAGTAAAAAGAAACTAAAATGCACTAGGTGAGACATCTCCAAATACGGACCATAAACCAAGCCATACAGCAAGAGCTACTACAAGCTAGAGAAACCAGGTGGAGCATAAAAAGGAACACTGCAATCAGCCAGTGACAGCCTGCTTTTAAGTCAAAAGAAGATTATAAGCTTTCAAACTCGAGTTTGCTAACAATCATTAGAATTCCTTGATATAAAACAAGGTTAAAAAAAAAAACATAAGCACTTCTCTTTGACAACAGATGAAGGCTAAAGACAACATCTTGTTAAGCTTCTACACTTCAATAATCCCTTTTCAGCATCTTACTTTTTGCTAAAAGCCAAACAAATCCATAATGAATAGTACCAGTGTTCTATAACGATTAAGATCCAAACCTGTTTTCAGGTAGAAAAACTGTTTAATAACTATACGCAACATCAGTTGCAGGTGCGAAAACTTGTTTTTGATACCGTAATAAAAAGAGATAACAACTCACCATATTTAATGAGTTGCTCTTGAGCTAAACTTTCTAGGCGCTGCTTTAGAGCTTTATTCTCCATGTTGAGAATAAGATGTTGCTGGTTGAGGAACTCAAGCTCAGCAGAAACTTCAGAACCTTCTGCCTGTGTTCAATATAAACAACATACAAGTCAATAATTGTAGCATCCTACTAATTAAATAAAGGCACAACCTTCTGCAAGTGTCCTACGACTTAGCAGTACATGCCTGTAGTGCTTGCACGTTCCTTTCCAGCTCAGCTATGTACTGAAGTTTCCTAACTCGCGAACGCTGAGCAAATTGCCTGCAATTTATAGAAGTAAGCATTTTACGAAATAGTTACCAAATATATGGCATCACATCAAACCATTATTATTACATCTTTTAAACCTTCAGACAAGCTCCTAGAACACAGGCAACCATATATCTACCTCATCGTAACCATTCTTTCATACATATTAGAAATTCCTTACCAGGCATGCAGGCTTTTACCAAGAAACTATGTTCAACAAATTACTACAGCTATTTGAGCCAATAATGATGGAAAAAGACAAAATAAAATGCCAAAATGATATATCTTGTAAAAGCTTAATATAAGGTTCATTTAATCCAGTATAAACCTCAATTATCCAAATAGTACTGTAGGACCATAGCAAGCAAAAGAAGAATATTCCATAGATGCCATGAGCATGAGAGTCAACCAGATAAGGAATGAGTTCTTTTCGTACATCCAAGTAAATGCAGAGTATCAAAGCTAACCTAACACAATGACAAAAATTTATGTGTGACTATATCATGTCTAAGAAGAATAGGGCATGAATGCAACGAGTGTTGACTGACACTAAACTAATAAGTTCTCCATGCAAGTTTTATCCAACTAAATGCAAAAAACCAATGCAAGATTATAGCTGAAAAGACACAAAGCAGCATTTGGGCCATTTTAATCATCACTGGCTAAAATATTGACCACTAAACAATCTTAATGTGGATTAGACAACTTGAAGGTTCTGAAGATGAGTAAACATACTGCTTTGCACGTTTTGTATCTGTTTCAGATGTAGCAGGCTTTCCATGAGATGCATCTTTTTTATCAGAAGACCCTTTTGAATCCTGAGGGCCAGAGTCACCTATATCATGTTTCTCAGTAGCTGAACTAGGAACTACATCTGCTTCTTGATGAGCACATGACTGTCCTGAGCTCAGGAGAATGGTGCTGGGAGAAGGAAAGCCACGCAGATGCGTGACTGAGCTTAAAGAAGCATCCCATGCTCGATTTTTATGCTTTCTCAAAGAATTTGGCTCTGCAACAAAAGCAGCATGCTGAGCATCTCTGTAATGATCAAATTCTTGAGATCCCCATGAAGGCAGAGGCAACATGTTATATCTGCTCTCATCTTGAGCAGCATAATCTATGCTCCCAATGTTGGCAGCATCAATATATGCAAAGGAGTCACTTGATGAGCGCCGATGCCCTCCTCTACGTACTGGGGTTTCTGGTTCATTAAGGAGATCATCCAACCATGAAGGCTGCTCCTCTATTAGATGGCTTTCAGAGGAAGTACGTTGATGGTGTGAGTTCCCTTCTCGGGCCCTCATATTACCTTTCTGCCCAGTAACTGAACTAGGGATGTAATCAACAAAAGGTTGGGTTATGCTAGGAAAAGGACTTTTAGGAGGCAGCAATGAGTTCCTGCCATTGTACATCATATTTCTCATGCTAGCAGGGCCCTTGGAATTTGCCATAGCCCAAGCACAACTAGTCCCTGTCAAAGGAAAATGAGTCAAAATTTGCATAATGAAATACATTAGTGACATTTCAATAAAAGGTATGAAAAGGGAGGATAAATTCCTGGCATAAGAAAATATGAGATTAAGTATCTCGACTCAAGTAAATCAGCACGGTAATTAGGAAACCAAGTAGTTGCTCGTAGGAATACAGTTAACCATTCCATTATGAGAAAAGACAAGGATTCAGAGAACCACATCTCAAGCACAAAGTGTTGTTCCTAGACATACATTCACCAGACATTAAAAGATAACTTACTAGATACCAGACATGAGGAATTATGTGTAACTTAGCTTCAAAAGACATAATCAAAGCATAAACCACGATGTAAAAGAGAAATGCCTTTTGTTAGATCAAGAACTCAAGATCAATTTGATGCAACAATAAAGAGTTGTGACAGAAAAGATGTGGAGGCATTTTGGCATTCGAAACAACATTCTCGTTTACCCCAGTAATGGAGACAAAAAGATGTGGAGGCATTTTGGCATTCGAAACAACATTCTCGTTCATCCCAGTAATGGAGACAAAAAGATGTGGAGGCATTGTGGCATTTGAAACAACATTGTTGTTTATCCCAGTAATGGATACAAATGTCTTCCCACCTATCCAACTTAAAACTACTTACAACACCAGAGAGAGAGAGAGAGAGAGAGAGATCCATCTAACAAGGAGCTGCGATTGTGATCTGCTTTACTATTTCTTTAGTACTAAAACAATCATAAATAAAGCTATAAAGGCAAATCACTAAATTAGTCCCTGAGAAGTCAAATGCCAGCAGCCCACCATCTCCTTTACATTTGCAAACTAGCGCACTTAGCAACAGCAGATGTGATATAATGCACTTCCTAAAGCACCTCTACCTTCAAACCCAAATAGAATAAGGAACAAAAGAAAATTCCAATTATAGCAACTCTTCAAAGATGGAGCTAGAAAATCCAGTGCCAAGTGCATCAACTGCCCCTCTATAAACTTAACTTTGATAGGACCCAAACTTGGATGAAGCTTTATTTTGCTACACCTGCAGAAGAAGATCTAACAGAAATGTGATGGCTAAAACTTATGTTGGACCTTGGTTAAACCAGTTAAGACATATAACGGAATAGCAAGAAGCACAATAGGGTTGACTGAAATGAAAGAAAACATATATTTGAGAAGGAAACACATTACAAACCAAAATTTCAATCCACATTGGAGCCTCAATCACCAACAAGCTAATTATAGCAGTGAAAAGGTGTTGAGAGCAAAAATGCGCATAATTGCAGAACCATATATGTACTGGTTCCGTAACCCATCTTTCAAGAAAAATAGCACTTAAAAATTTTCCAGCTTTAGTTAACTGTTTCCACTCTACACACTATTTCAGCAGAGCAGTCGATTAATAAAAGGAATTCATCCAGATAGGCTCTCATCATTACTGCCTTAATCTATCCTATTATCCTCAAATTGTATTGGAAAACACTTCCCATTCAAAATTTTCTACTTACTGAGCGGAAAAAAAGACACCTAAATCTAAAGAGTCTCTGAATCTCGTATATTTGGACAAAATGGGACATGTATGCTTGTAAGTACAGATTATTTTTTTTTTTAAATTCATATTTATGCTACTGCATCGCATCCCAAAAGTAAAAAGGATTTGCTTCCTATTTTGCCAAACGAACCACAAGTATTAACCCCCAACTTCTGCTTGTATAAATTACCTAAACAAATCAGACATCAACAAATTTCTCAAATCTCAAGCTTCATACTGCAACACTTTTTAAGCATGTTTTTCAGTCAGCTCCCAATCCAACATTAATTATAAAAACACAATAAACAATAAAGCTGAAGAAGATTCATTGCTTTTCCACCCACATTTGCTCACCAACCAAAGCAACAAATTACGGGAAATCAGATGATTCAAAATCAAATAAAATAAATTTTATGTATCACAAACATTTTGTACGTATAAATGAAATGCTAACCTTATTGCGCCTATCAATAAGATCTTTGTCACCGTGATTTGGTAATTCTCTCTTTCAGTGTTTCGGTTAGGGTTTGCTCTCTTCCTCGAAGTTGCCCCCACTCCTCTCTCTCTCTCTCTCTCTCTCTGCCTCTCTGTCTGTCTCCGTCTCTCTCTCTCTCTCTCTCTAGTTTGTCGCTGACGGCTCTGCTGGGTTGGAGTAGGGGCTCAGATTGAGTAGCACTATTAACTATTAACCGGATTTTTTTAAAAAAAATTTCATTTTTTATGATTCTGATATTTTATGTTCTCACCCTTATTATCTGTAGTCATTTATTTATATCTAAATTATTATAATCTTATATATATATATATATATATATATCATCACTAATAGAATAGAATGAGATGAGTAAGTTTTGTATACACCATGAGCGTGCATTTTTTGTTTATATTAATAGATTTAAATCATGCCACGTAATATGAATTTAAATTATATGCATGCATAACAAAAGTTGACATACAGCAACTACGTAAAAAGTTTATTCTTTAATTTATATGAAATAGCTTAACATCAGAAAAAAGAAAAAAAAGAATCAAAATTGTAATAAGATTTGTGATGAGTAATAAGAAACTTTTTAAAACTTAGTTAATTTCATATGAAATTTTATGTATAATTAATACAAGTGATGAAATATATTATGAGTGGTGTTGATTTTTTTTTAAAACAAATTTATTAGGGAATAATGGAGTTAAGTTTTGTCTAATGCAAGGGAGAGAAGCCAGTCCTTATAACTGCGTGCATGTATACGCGTATTTTATGTACCCGACTAATCTAAGGGTTGTGTCATAGTACTTTCTTGGTCTAGTTGGGTCTGTATACTTACTAGTCCCTACAACAGCCTCCTTAGGATCCCCCTCCCCCTAGATTAGGATAGAGTAGATTATATAGATGTATCGTTGCTGACAAAAAAAAAAAAAAAAAAAAAAAAGGACTAGCTAGCTGTGTATATGTATTTGTGGTGTGATAAATCTTCATTGGGTAACATTATTGAACTGTTTTGCCACTTTAATTTTCATTTGAGATGCCATCGATTCATTACTGTACCCAAAGGTTAACACGACTTTTATTTTTAAGAATGATGCTAATCAACGAATTGGAGAAAGGAAAAAGCGTAACGATAATGAAAGTGGTGGTACCATATAATACTATCACCTTTATTTAAGCCCGAGTCTTCATCCTATTGGTGGTAATGTAACGTCGAACAATGCAGTTTGCGATTTCTTTTTTTTTTTTTTTTTGGGATAATGATGTAGTTTGCGATTAGGATAAAGGCTAATCAAGCGCCAAGAGAGAGAGAGAGAGGTGTGCTGGGGGGTTATGTAATCTTACCAAGTAAGCTCGTGAATTGGTCACAGCCATTAATTCTATAAAACTAGTCACACTTTGATTGGAGAACTTTCTGCCCCTTTAATTGGAGAAATGCTCAACAAACTGCAATCACTTTTCAACTAGTCTGGAGTTGATTTGTCAGGTTTGAATGGTTATACTACTCCAATTTTGTTAAAAAAAAAGAAAAAAAAAGAAAAAAAAATGTGGCGGCAAAAAAAGCGAGTAGATTAATTGTGCGAGCCTAATATAGAAGCATTTACGCATTCACATCTGAGCGAATGAGTGGAAATGGGCTGTCAATACTCAAATCGCAGGACCACTCCTACTTTATTCTCCTCCCAAACCTTACCATAATGCTTCCAAAATTCCACTTTCGGTGCCAGTCTGGTCAACTCCGGCAGCACAATTCCCGACACTTAACCGTAAACATTGCTGTAAATTCATCTCATTTCTTTTGCCTTTTTTTTCTTAGAAAAAAATTTTGTGTGGGTTCGGATCCTATCACCGTCACGATCAAAACAGATTTCTGAAATTAAATTAGATCTCTGAGGTATTTACAAATCGCTCGTCAACACAACTCTTTACCAATTGAGTCAACTTGTGTTGCGTGATTTTTTTTCCCTTGCACCATGGAGATTGGAGCTGTGTCCCTACCCACTCCCTTGGGATAAAAGGTTTCGGAATTCAAGTTAAAGGCCAACATCCTTTTTTTCCAAAAAAAAAAAAAAAAAAGAAAAAAAGAAAAGGGGTTAAAGGCCAACATCCTCAACCGCAAAGAATCTAAGAGTTGTTTCGGACAAGGTTCAAACATAAAATGCTTTTATTTGTTTGGTAATCTAGAGATCAAAAAAACTAGAAGAGCATTAGCCATCTAAGAGCTTTATGTCATTTTTTTTTTTTTTTATCAACACAAGGGTGTTCAGGTCAAGACCCGAAGGCGACCCGACTAATCTCCTGCGCCTGGAGTACAGCGCCACCCCAACCGCACCCAGACGTTAAGCGAGGTTCGACCCCACGACCTGCGAGTGCCAGAAGCAGCCACAGACCGCGTGATCTAGCCCCGGGAGGCTAAGAGCTTTATGTCACGTTTAAGACAATAGTGTAATATCATGATTCAACCTACTTTTCAACTTTGCTGTAATGTAGTACTAGTAGTTTTCCGTGAGTCAACGCACAAACTACCCCGTGGATCGGGAAGACATGCTGAGACGTCGAACATGGCAAATAAATTAGCAATAATGCCACTTACTGCAGGTATTGACCATAGTGTTTGCTGTTACCGCCACAAACCAGAAGCTCCTTTATTGAAGCTTTTCTATGAGCCGAGTAACCATCATAACAGCTCAAACCAGAAGGAACTTGTGCCCAGGTAATTCCTAAAAGCAATTGAGAAACCATGCCATGCAACGCAACTAGCAGTTGGTCCCCCTTGTGGCGTGGGAAGACAACGCCGCACCACCAATTTAAGGGGCCATCGCCATCTCACAGTTCATCACAAGTACCCGATGATTGCATGTAAGCAACAAGAAAGAGGAGGAATTACGAAGGGAAAACAGGGTTAAATAGTATGATTGCACTTCCATGTTGTTCCCAACATTGTACAGTGCTTGTTTGATGAGAGTCTTCCCTAAATATGAGACCATGTCTTGCAAAACTTAAAAAACGGGGCGAAGGCGATGAATGAATTTAGACAGTAATTTCACCCCAAAAAAGGGAAAAACCAACGGTATTGCCATTTTTTTTTTCTTTTTCATTTCTGGTCCTAACAGATAAAAGATGAGTTCAAGACCCAAGAAGCTTCTTCCATCTTGCATATCCTAAAATGAGAAGGAAGAGTAACATACAACCCGCTGTACAACCACCGACAAGCGGCCAGAAGACCCCATTGGTCTGGTAGAGTGTACAAGGGATATTCATCCCAAACACACCAGCAATCAGAGTCTCCACAGCAACCGCAAATGAGGCAATGGTCAATGTCAGTTGCAATTGAATAAGTTCGTTTCGCTGGTTGTCAAGTTGGATGTTGACATAATCCTCTGTGTCATCAATGTATTCCCGAACCTGCAAAAAATAGGGGGGAAAGAAAAAAACATCAACAAGAGGACGTAGGAGGAGGAACTGGGTAGCTGAATCACCTCACTTGAAAAGCAAAATAGGCAAGAAGACTACAAAAACGAAACAAGTTTTCAGTACGATCTAGACAAGTTTTATCTGTTTCTCTGTTTATTTAGGAAAACAACTTCAATTTATTAAGCCAGAATGTTGGGGACTAGTCAGGAAAATTTTCTAAAAGAGACAATTTAGAAGCTTCATTTCTCTTCAATCTCCATAGAAGCTTTCAGGATCACAAAATAGAGACTCTGCACATATGTCAAACTTCCAAGCAAAGTTAATGAAATAAAAGAGTTTTCTAGGACCACCATCTAAGAATTTCTCAATACTACACAATAGATTTTTCAGGAACTCAAGAAAAGAGGAAGGGTGCCACCAAAACCAATGCTTATCAATTTTAATTTTTTTGGTCTAATCGAAGAAAACTACAGTCGGTAAAGAGCACTCACAGATAGTATCTTGTTACGAGTGCCATCCAACTGCATGAAATAAGCCTCAAGCAACATTTCCAAATCCTCAACATCA